GTGGCTCACGATAAGACGCTATAGGTGCCAAGCAGGCAGGATGGGCGGGATTACGAGGGATATCGAGCGGAGATCGAATTCGATTTGCAATATGCAGAAGGAGATGGAGGGGGGTCTCGTTCGGGCAGCGGGGCAAGGTGGGCAGAGGAACGGGCACTTCGATTGAAAATAGTTCGGTTTCAATCTCGCCCCATCTCGGTGGTTCTCCGGTGGAGTTCCTGAATAAACACTGACTTTCTCGCTTCACCTCAGCCGGAATCAATTCTAGCGAATAACCGAGATGTTAAGCTCACTCAAGGCGACGTCGGCACCCGTCGTCGCGGAGGATACAAGAGGGTATGGGGGCGAAATTTAAGGGAGCTTCCCCGAAAAGAGACATTTCTTAGCTTCCGGAAACCAAGCCGCGCACGAAAAGAAAAAGCTGCGCCGTGCTACCGGGAAAGGAAGAGCGGCCGGGGAAAATCTGCAACCTGCGCGCGATGCGGCGTCCGCGTAAACACATCCATCATACTACACGTTGCGGATTAGGTCCTATCTGCGGGAGGATAGAATCTCGTTACCGACGATGATAACGTGCTCGTCACGACGTTATTTTTTTTCTTCCTTTTTTTTCTTATTGGCGCGAGATTCAGTATGATATGCGCAATGACGAAATATTTTCGAGCTACCGCCACCGCGCCCCGACCTACATAACTCTCTCCTCATACACGGGGGGGTTGAAATAGTGTTTGCCTTCGCGGAAACTCACATCAGTTCGCGGAACATGTTTTCCTTGCATCACGTCGAGTTGCGAGTACGGCCGATTACATCGTCATAAGTGCTCTGACGCTCAACAATTTAGCACTGCTCAGAAATGTTATATATATATAATAATAATTTTAACGCATTCTCTCCTAAGAAAAGAATCTTATATAATCCGCTCAATTTTTAAAAAATGTTATCCTAAGTAAATGTTATCCTATATAAAAGAATTAAAATGATTGCTTCGTCATGTTTTACGCAAGTCTTCGTAATTTACGGGGGTTTCTTTTACAAATTATTTAAAAGTACTATTTCCAAAAGCATTATTCTGTTTGACGTGAACGACATACACATAGAAAGGTTTTTTTTCTAGGAACTTGTAACTTAATTTATACCTTTCTATGTGTATGTCGTTCACGTCAAACAGAATAGTACTTTTGGCAACAGTATACTTTCGAATGATTTATAACAACTCTTTCCATGCATAAGTTAAATATGCATAAAATCCTGCCTGTTATCTATTTCAAATTTTAATTTTTACAAATTGCGCGCTTTGTTAACGTGATACATTGCATGGGAGATATCGCAGTTACTATTATATTACAAGCAATGTGTCATCTTTGTGATAAAAAATATCAAGCAATCGCAAACTAAATATGTAATCTTTCATGACAAGATATTGCGCTAACGTGGACAAATTGTATATGATGGAAGAGTCGTGTGTCAAGCTTGTAATGAACAGTTATAATTCACTTAAATGAATTTTTATTTTTGCTTATACTTTTAGATATAGGTCACAATCCTTAAATAAGAACATTATATGAATTTCAAAACAGAAGTCGTTTTTGTTCGACCCGACTGGCCAAATAATTAATTTATTTAAATTGAATTTCTATGTGCAAATTACGAATAAGAAAAGCAATAATATTATAGCAAAAAATATTAGAAAATATTTTTAGCAGCACATATAGATATGCGATTTATCTTTTAAATAAATGGCTGTACGAACCACAGCTTCTGATATAGCGTACACTTTCTATGCTGTCAGAAAGTAATCAAAACTTTGTCACAAATTAATCCGACCAATAGTTTTCGGAAATAGATCGGCGCTCGCATATTGGAGTTTCGTTTCGGGGAGTTACTGAGGTTGTCTAACGTTATAATAATTAATTTCTGTCGTTTACAGTGTTTCAACGAAGTTTCGAAAAATAACATCTCGAAAGATTAATGGCTCGGTAAGTTTGATTTAACAATTTAATGATATAGCGGACTTAATCAACTCCAACGGACCAGAGTGCTTGATCAAATCGGACTTGCCCCAATGAGCATGACTCTCTATTTATTTCTAATTTAATCATTGCATGACCGTCGACGGTCATATAGCCCCACATCTGCATCCGACAGTGGTACAGGCACGTAGTAAATGTATAGCGACACTATAGCGACGTACACAAATGGTTGCGCAGCGTATAAATTCCGTCGCTGTCTGGGTCTCATATGGAGCGTGCCATTGAAACGTGTTTTTGCTATGAATTCGACAAATATTTGCCCGCGTGACATGGGAAGGTTGACACATGCCGTTATGGAAAAAACCGCGAGCGATAAGAGATCAATCGCGTGTACGTTGTTTCACGGCGTGCGAAATTGCATAACCGGGCGGAGAAGAAAATAGGGGGGTTACAATCAATTTTCGTTTAGCGATACACGGGTGAAATCAATTTTAATCGCGCCGTTATATCGAGAGCGAAATATCTATTTTTTTGAAGGACATATTAAACGGAGATCGCGTTTATTAACGATAACTGCTGAAAATATCGTTACTATCCACGAGAGATCAAATTCCCATTTGTTTTTTTTTATCAATCTTCATCTCATATAGGATAGTTTCGCTAAAAAATCGTTTTAGAGAAGGTAACTCTAAAATTATCTTTATAACACGATTTGCGAATAAACGTATTTCGCATTAATAAAATCAACTTTCATTGTCGCTTCTGCATTTTGCTGGTTTAGTCTTACGCGTTAGTCTATCTAGTATTTAAGATATTTATAACGCAAGATGATATTTTCAGCCATTTTCCGGGTGTATACACAAAATGTACGACGCGGCGCAGCGTTTCGTTTCGCTGATCCTCTCCGCTTGTTCTCCATCCCCCTTGTTTTAGCCTACATCTCCAGCTTGTGTTTCCTACGGCGCGTCCTCCACCCTCCCCCCTCTCGACTGCTCTTACACGCGTTTGCTTCGTTTTCTCTCTCCGCAGTATTTCTTTGCTCTCCCGAGATCGCGCTTTTCTCGACAATTCTCCCTCCCGTCTCAGTAATAATTGAATTCGCGTTACGTCTCGGCTACCGCGCGAGAAGCCGAGGAAGAAGACGAGGGGCGCGCTCGCGCGCGCGATCGTGGACGTTTCGCATTTGAAATTGAGAAAAGAAGAATAATAAAATGACAACGGCTCTGGCAAGTGCAGACCGCAAGTATTGTGCCTCTCGCTGTTGCGGCAATCCGATTAGACGGATCTGCGTACCGCAGCGCGGACTGCGAAAAGCTACCCTTTGATTTTGAAACCTAATTTGTTCATCGAGCGAGAACAAAGAAAATGCACGCCCGTTTCGCGGTAACGAGTCTTCGCTCTCGTCGCTTTAGCGTGGAATTTTCTTTCGCTTATGACTCAAAGGTATCGTCTTAGAAAATGCGATCCATACGTCAGTTCAGACAGTTCAGACACCGTGATGAGAGCTTGTAAACTTAACGCGATAATATAATGCAACATATATACACTCGTTTAAAATTGTATGATTTTAATAAAAGTATATACTAGTGGCTGTGTGTAAAAACGATGGAGACCAATTTCAATTACTTTATTAATGGATTTACAAAACGCGTATATTTAATTACTGTAATTAATTTAATTCAATATACGCTATCTCTATGAGTACATTCACATTTTATAATTTTGGTCAACGGATATAAAATCGTGTGAACGCGAAGTAGGAATAACGTACGGATATAATTAATAATTGTTCTTTTGTCGCCAATATAAAATTGATAAATCAAACAAAATGGATTAGCCTGTTATTTTTCCATGGACAAAACCGAAAAATAACGCGTTAATTAATTATCTTTTCTGAATTTTATTAAGCATATTCTGCCGCAAGAAAACTTAGTATATATCTGAAATTAATATTTGACAACTAATTTGGTACCGAAACCATCTTCAGCGGCTCGGAAACACGAGTAAAAGTTATTTAATTACTGAGATAAAGATAGCATGGGCAATTCTCATTTGTACGGAAGCATCCTATTAATATTTCCAAACATTATATATATTATAACAGAATATAACAGACTTCTTTCGAGTTTAGAATGTTGCTGAATTTTCCCAAAATTATTTTTCGTACTCTTAATAATTTTCAGCAAGTAATGCGATAAACAAAGTTTATGTAAAGAAACTAAAATATTTATTTGAACAAGAGGGGTGCAAATACATCGCTGAAACGGATATAAAATCCGTCAACACGATTAAATCTTTTCGCAATTATTTGAGAACTGTCCTACATTCAACGCGCACCGGAATCCTAGTTATCCCCCAATCCCGCTGGTGTATCAAGTGTTAGTAGCTGTGCCATGTGCCGCTCCCGCTGATCTTTTTTTTATCAGACAAGCGCGGATAACGATTATTGCACTTTTTTTCTCTCGACTATTTGGTATGCATTGTTAAACGAGAACTCCCGTGGCGAAAAAAAGCGGCTTACGCGACAGCGATCGATTTAGCGTCGTTTACTTTCCCTTAACAGAAAGATTTTTCGCTTTTCATTGTTTGCGCCAATGCCGTGTACGGGACCGGAGATTGTTTTCACTGTTATTCTGCGGAATCCGAAATAGGAAAAACACACACTGTTTGTTCTTCCAGGATTTTGGACAACGTGTACTTAAAACGACAGTAAATTTTCGCCAGCTACGTCCGCTGCGCTAAATGATTTACGCTTGACGTTTGATATTCCAAATATGCGATGTGTACGCGAATTTCGTTATTTGCATAAAAGTTGCATAGTACGCAAATTCATTTCTACGATGATTCGCGGTGCGTATCCTGCGCATTAGCGCATTGCATAATAGCGAAAGCTGCGTTGTTAAAATAATTTTAATTCTTCGAAATATTAATTGTGTATGCGTTTGCGCTAAATAACGAATACCGATCGTTACAATACAATCGGCTTAACTATCATTTTGATGTATATATGGAGTATATTTATTGTTCCAGCACCATCCTGGTCGAAGTCCTTGGGAGTCGGTAGAATCGTGAATATTACGCTACCGTGAGTCCAGAGTGAACGTAAGTTGAATTTTTTTAATTTAATAAACAGCTTCATAATCCTAGCAATAATCATATTTATAACAGAAATTATAATAGAAATAACTCGCAAAAGATAGATTCTATAGTTTACGTTTCATGATTTAATTTTTATAATTATCGTAATTACATGCAATACTTATATAAATCATTGACTAATATATTATAACAAGATTAGGCAGATATAATATTATTTCTTAAAATAATATTATTCTGATAAACTCGTTACTGATTCTCAAAACCATATTTGATTTCGCGGTGAATTAACTTTTAAATCATCATTAAATTTTTATACGTATTAATTATTTATTCTTTCTATATAATTAGCGATTGGAAATGAACTTCTAACGACGCTTAATCATGTGTTGTAATATTGATTTCTATATACGGTATTAATGTATAATATGTATATGATAAAAGAGGTCACGGTGACAAAAACCGACTTGAAAGATTAAATATATTATTCAAGATAATCATGAATATATTATCAATAAGTATTTCGTTCGTTGTCTATTACTTAAATATTGAGTTATTGCTCTCTTCTGCATCAGCGGTTATTTGGATGAATTATTTCCATGATTTTTTTCTTTTTGTAGAAACACGTTTATATCAACATGAAACGGATCACGGATGGCACACAAATCACATACTATTATTTGCTTTGTCTTTAAAGAAATAATATACATTATAACTTAGAACAAGCTCATCTTTCACAGACAGTTGATATCTTCATTTATCGATAACGAACGCCCCGAGCTCTGTTTCGTGTTCGTAACATTAGCAAAGAGCGCATTTGCTCTCAAAAGTCATATCCGCCGTATCAATCCCGAGTCGGATGACAAAGCACTGCCAAGCTCCTTATAGCTGACACAGGCCATCATAATGACAACGGGGCGAACAATGAAAGTAATGTCGGTATTCGTCTACCCTTCTGCAGTTCAATAGAATATCAATAGAAACGAAGAGAAAGAAAGAAGAGCGTAAAAGCGCCGACAACGCGTTCTCATTTTCTTAAAATTGTTATACTGTCGTGTATTACTATAAAGGAAATATCCTTTATCTATCCAGCTCTTATGGAGCACGGAAGATGAAAGAGAAATCATCACGATGAAACTCTGCCTGACTATGAGTAGATAGAAAGACATAAGACCATATAAAAAGCTCATTTTTTTACTGGCCAGACAGTTCGATGCAACAAGACACTGATCTCGAAACGCTGCGGAAGATTGAAAGTCCACGGGGATACGAAGAACTTGCTTTTGAAAACTCCATCTTTGCTCCGAAATATTTATGTAATCAATTCGCGTATCGTCGCGTTAATTTATTACAAAGTTTCAAACTATACATATATAATATTACGAAGAAGAATATCATTTCTTGAGTAAAATAAACAAGAGTAAGATCGCGCGAGTATTTTTATAAATAACGATATGGTTACAACTTCGATGTACCCTGCCAATAATTGCATTTGCAGTTTGCACACTCGCGTGTAACGAGTTTAGCATTGAGAAGTTTATTTTATATTTTGTGTCTAGAGAGTGCAGATGCTTCCTGCTATATGGTTATGCATATAGTTTCTACCATGTAGATCTAGTCATTACTAAATACACGTCCGTAATGGAATAAAAGGCTCTTAAGGCTCTTTGGTGACGTTCAAGCACGACAGTAATCACTACTGTAATCAGATTGCATGATGTAATCGGGGCGAAAACGGGACGTGAGTTTCACGGACTAGTCTTCCACATCGGCTTGCGGAAGTGTAGAAACGACTTTGACGATGCTCTGATAGTTTCGTGTGACCCAAAGTTAATAACCCCGCGGCGCGGCGCGGCACGGAACTTTCGCGGACAATGTTCCCGGCTGCAAATTTATAAGATTCGGTCTTATTTGAAAAGTTTATGCAATTTCGCGGTCCCCGGCACACGGCCTGTAAATATTCGGTCGAACTTCGAACTTCCCGAATAATGCAGCCGAAGAGAGAGAGTTTATCGAAGAGAGCGGATACTAACGTAGAGATCAGATATTGGAAGAAACGAAACGAGACACATAAATCGCGCTAAATTGACGTGATTGACGATTTCGACACGGAAATCTCGTTGAAAAATATAAATTAGCTATATATAAGCTATAAATTGAATGCGAACGCGTTGCATCGATCATTTACAATATTTAATTATTCATATAAATATTGCGTACTTCCGCACACTGGATATCGAAATACGATTGCGTAGCATAATTTTTGCAATATCAAACAAACGTTGTTTGTTTAAAAAAAATATACTCCGAACTTTTTATCAATGTTGATTGAAACAATTTTGTTAAGTGAAATCTTATTAGACTCTTTCATTGAAAACGAGTTGGAAACAAGATTGATTCTTTATATGTACGCTATCGAGCGCAATAACTTCAAGCTGAACACGCTTTATTTATCATGTTTATAGTTAGATATAAGAAGAATTTATTGCCTCGTATCGTGTGAAATGGATATACGAGCGATGAACCCAAATATGATTCTCAACTCTGTATGTAAAATAATCTTGTAAAAGCGAAATATTTCTCACTCACATTTCTTTCTCGTATTGATTTTGTATTACTTTATCTTGTTTCTGTGCTATTATGTCTTTATCAGTTTTTATCTTTTATCAGTTAAACGTTTTTATTGCCGAAATTTAATTTCTGGACAAAAATACTCTGTACTTCTTATTGTTGCTACATTCAAAGTTAAGCATGTATATACTTTGAAGGGAAAAAAATCTAACAGGACATTGAGAGAAATATTGAACAAAGGAAGATAAAGTCGTTTCCAAGAAAAGAATTTTTTTCAACGATTTTCTTAACAAATGCATCTCCGAGAAAGATCAACAAAAATTGCTGAAAGAGAGAGAGACGAGCATCGCGTTGCCTTTAGTACAATAATTTTTAATTCATCCAATCTTGGATGCGTCTCGCGTATCTCGCGAAAAAAGGATAAAAATTTTCCGGTGAAAATGAGTTAGAGCGAAGCTTTTAGCATCTCCGTCTTTTTCCCTTCGGCTGGCACCGTTAAGTAACACGTTCCGTAGATATAATTTCAATCATATTCCACGTAGACGTGACGGCAGTTGTACCGTACGCGTCCTGTGTGCATTATAGATACAGATAAGCAGATATTCGCAAGGATGCGGAATCCGGTTACACAAAGGCGCGTCATCGAGACCGTGAATGCGGCAGGTGCATATCGACTTAGTGTCTGTGTAAATATGCTCTGCTCTACGTCTCTGACTGCGTTTACATTTCGCCGCTTATAGAGAAAGTTGTGCTCCGTTGCAAAGAACATGAGATATTACACCTGTAAGCACGCGATCGTTTCACGTCGAATAACGTTGCTTCTCTCTACACCGTGTTTATAGATATAAATTCACTGCATCTCTTCCGAGGAGAAGCGTGAATAACTGTCGTTATATCTCTACGAATTACGGAGCTTGCAAGATTCAGGAATTCCTTAATTTCGATGCTACGAGATTTCGTATTAGGTACATCAAGATAAGTACGAAATGGGATGCATTGACTAGGTTATATATAATCACTTTTATGCTGTTCCATGTTAGTATATTTTCACAGAAATAGGCATTCTAATTGGTTCCGTAATTGATAAATACGATCGAAAGCTCTTGTCGAGAAGTATAACGGACGCCACTTATACCGTTTTCCAGATAAGAGTCTTTATTTTAGAAATGAGAAACGAATACGATGTATCTTTCATTTTTTTGCGCGTGCTCATAATATTTTACTAATGGTTAAAATTATCCACATTAAATTATGCACGTGACCCCTATTCAGTTTGCAACAACATATACTCTTAACGCAAAGATAAAATCGTGAAATACTACTACTAATTCGCGATTCCAGTGGCGTCCCCGGCAGTCAATGATAGAACGGGCTAACGACTCCGTCCTTATTCCCCGCTAATTAACTATTAACGACTTATCGGGGAAAAAGTGACCTCGGTCGAGAGTTCACGCGCCACCATCCGAGAGCGCCAGCGAGCGCCGCGTTATAATTAGAAAGTCGATTACGATGGTGCCCCCGTCGTTGCGCGGTGACCCGGCGTAATGAAAACAGTACCCCTCCCGATAATTCACAGAAAACACCGCGTTTTTCTCCGGAACCGATCCAGCGCAGCGGTACGATTGACTAAACTCGTTCGTTTCTCCTCGCGCAAATTGATTACAGCCGCTGTCAAAGCTGACTGTCTCTAATATAAAGCGTTATTATATCGTGTATTATTATATCATCCGCATGCAATTACCGCGTCGTCGCATTCACGTAATTCGTATTTGATGCAATGCCTGATCTCGACGTCTAGTCAATATTTATCGAACGCGCCAGATCTGCAGCCTACTTAATACGCGTAATTTCGCGCGATGAAACTAGGATCAGCTGAATAAATAAACCTGATTCCAGACATAAGCACATTGAAGCCACGTTATTTGCTCTCGCTGAACCGTAAAGTCTTGAATGACTCCGGATGATACATAACAATCTGTCACGCATCACGCATCCTCTAATTAAATTTCCTAGTCTGAGGCTGGAAATAGCCACGTCTTCCTCTTCAAATAATAGAGAATAGAGAAGAAATAACATAATTAATTTTCTATCTTGGTTATTTATATTTATAATTTTTATTATTTATATATATTTTATATATGTAATATTAATAAATGTGTATGTATATACATATATATATATATATATATATATATATATATATATATATATATATAGAGAGAGAGAGAGAGAGGAAAGTACCCGATTATGAGATACTATATCTATTTTGTGTGATTGCCGGAAGTCTATGGGCAGAATTGAAAAATATAGTAGGTCATTTTGAAGGGAATTAGAAAAATGTGAAAAATGAGCTTTCGGCAAAATCGAAAAAGTGTGCTCCTAATATGAGAGACCCCGGGAAATCGCTAATAAAGTGCAAAATACATGATATTGCAATTAAAAAACTTTATTTAAAGATTTGAAAGACAAATGTAATGGAGAACCATATTTGCAACAATCGTAAACCTATATACTTATACTCAATATTGTACCTAATCTTCCCCCTCCACTCTTCCCTCTCAAATCAAGGTCAGCACAGTCTTATAAATTTGTATAAACCTTCCCTTAACGTCAATATAGTATTTTCTCTTCTTTTATTACTATACAATAACTTTCATACTCCAGCAACCCAGGAGTACCCTGAGTATCTCATGTTACGAGCACCACGCCTTGCGGTTTTGCGATCACCAAATCTAATCTCTACAATTGAGCAACTCAACATATCCCGTATTTTCTTATTAATACGACCTTACTCTATCACTGCATGCAGAACTTATTGCCAAATATTTATTAATTATATAATAAACAAGGTTTAAAGACTCAGATTCATGGCACTTGACAACATCCAATTTTATAATTTTTTTCGCTGCAACGACTACACGCACGATCAAACAATGAATTTTCCACTAAATAGGTTTTACCCCAAGGGCAATAAGTTCATGGTGGAACCAACAGGCAGGGCCTATTAGTTTAGTAGAAACCTCGCTGTCGCATATTAAGAGCCTATCTCATAATAGGGGACTTTCCTCTATATATAATTTTTTTATTTTATTGTTTCTTTGCAAAAATGAGATTAATGGTAAAATTATTGTATTCTCCTAGATTTACGAAATTAAACCTCGTCATAAGGAATAAAAATATTCAGAATGTCGACATTGTAGACCAGCGCAAAAGCGCGTTTGAGCAACAATGTGTAAACCGCGGGATAAGGATTCTTAGTTAGTTAGACAATGTTTCCGTAACTAAGTCAAGCCGGAGGTCACAATAATAACTTTAAACTCACTTTGTACGGCGCGATTGCATCGAAAACGAGATTCTCCTTTTCGCCTCACGGCCATTTGTATCACGACCAGGTAATTTAACAAAAAGTTGCTCGCGATATTTCGTTATTACGTTTAAGCGCCTCCAACGACGAGAGAAACAGAGAGGGAGAGACTTCTCTCTGAGAAGTTTCAATGGAGCACGCTATACATGAGCGTTTTTCTCGTCGAAGTCTCGGTCCACGTTCTCAGTCCCTCGCTTCAAGCGTTATCTCAAAGTACATATAACACGTATAAATCCGTCCGCCATAACTTCTTTGATATTCTCGGAAGACGGCTGTGCGGCCGTCGTCGTCGTTCAATAATCCTTATTTCCGCCGGGAAAAAGTTTGCCCCCGCAGGAAACGGGCAACGGTATTGCGCGTGTTCCTCCTTCCTCGCAAATTACAAATTAAATTACTGCACTTTCGCGAGGAAGCGCAAAGTTCCCGAAAACTCACGGCTGCGAATCACTTACGGTAATCTGCGTCTTACTTGCGCGATCGCTTCGTGATAAAAAAAAAAAGAAAAATCTTGACACTGTTCGCGCTTGGGCGCTCTTTTTTCCTTTCTTCTTCTTAAACACCCCATATTTACGCGTAGCTTCCGCAAGCGAAAGCTGCATCGTAACCATCGTAACTGCCGCTTTCGAAAGTCATTTATAAACATCGCGCGATCTCCGCCCACCCACTCGTCGTACCGATCGTTTAACATCCGCCAATCATCGGTCCGCTCAGTGTGTTTCGCGAGACCTTATTTCACGTGCGAAAATATAGGACGGGGCAGGAGAGATCCGGCAGGATAACCACCGCCTCCGGTGTGTGTGCTGGCTCGCATGATTGATGAAATTTGTATAGGAGCAACAGGGCATACTTGCCGTTACCCTCCGGGAACGGAACGCTCTTGATTGATAGAGGGTGTTCGAATTTGAAATTCCGCCCCGCGGAAAGAGTTGACCGCCTATCCCGCCGTCGCTCTATCTCTCCCTCTTTCTCTCTCGCTGCTCTCCGCTCGATACCTTTTTTTTCTGCGTGGCACGCGAACGGTGCCGGACACGCACACGTCCCCGTCGAGCAACTTCCGCGTTTCCGCGTCCCCCCGCGACGAGACACGGGTGGGAGGTTCCTTCCGGGCACGATACACGCGCCGCCAAAGGACACTCGGCTCGTTTCATCCATCGTTCATCCGGGCTAAAAGCCGCTCCGGTCCGTATACACAAACCTCCTCCACTCTTTCCCCGTATCCTCGTTGGCTCACCTAGTTATTTACAAGTCAAATGCGGTCGATCGATAGCGCGACTAGGATCGAGGGAACAGGATCGCCGCCGCGAACGTGAGGCCGCACCGGAGCGCAACAGCGAGACGGATGTACGAATCGAAGCTCGACGCATACGTCATACGAAATATCGTCTTTCAGCGTCTCTCGTCTGGTTTTGCCAACGTAATATTAACTCACCGTACATGTCTTTCCTCCTGGAATATATTTCACGGAAGAGAAAACGCTCCGCGCGCGTGTCGTAAAGCCGTACACATGCCGTGCAAGCATGTCGTGGTTCAAAGAGCGCTGTTTTAGCTTGAGATCTAAAACCACGCGGGCAAAGAAAGGGCTCTGAAACATGCGTGTCGGTTTTAAAGGAACGACACGCTCGGTACATATGTATTCTGACCTCGGTGGCGCAGGATCGGCGATCGAGCTCAAAAGAACTGCTCTCTCGCGGCCGGGACAATAAAATCCTCGGGGCTACCGGGCGAGTGCAGTGACCGCGGACGCTCTTGTGGACGGAGACTTCAAAAAGTTCGCCGCGCGAAGAGCATGTATACGCGGAAAGTTGTCGGAAAATCTACAACGGCGCGCATGGTTCCCACCGGAACGAGTTTCCCGATGGATCCCGGCCGCGATCTTCGGCGAATTTCTCTTTGTTTCCCGACAACGTTAACCCACCGTGACACGCCATTTGCTTTCGTACAATTCGAAACGGGCGAAATACGCAATTTTAATTATTGATAGTAAATCAGAATTCGCGATGATCGTCGCGTTGGTTCTGGAGCAAGATTAAATCATATTTAATTTTTAGCCGTTTCGGTCTTTCACGAACGTTTCAATTTCGACTCGACTGAATATATATATATATATATATATATATATATATATATATATATATATATATAAGTTTGAAACCTGCGTAAAGTTTGTCGTGAAACGAAATTTGAGGAACGAGATGCATAAAATAGCTTATGCTAGGATTAAATGTACGAATTTAGAATCGCGTTCTATTTCTAAATCGTTTCGGAATGTCGTTTCGAGATATATTCGATTCTTTTATCAGGACGTTGTAGCTCGGACACTTTCTCTCACTCGCCGATTCGAGCCCGTAGGGAGATCCGGAATGAATTGTGCTGCGCCGCTCGTCGGCGGAAAGGCTAATTTGATGCACAATCTCGGACTCCACGACGATAATAAAAGGAGTGAAACTTGTTTTAATCGTCGTGCTGTATTAATTTAACTTCGGCGACGCGTCGACACGACAACGCCGGCGTCGGAGAAAGCGCGACGCGCTGTAACGGTATTAAGCTAAATTGCCAACAGTTCTCGGCAGGGTGTCCCGTCGTGCTCTGAGATTAGCGGCGTTGACTAACAAAAATAAAGGAAAGGCAGGCTCGTGGGAATGCGAGAGCGAGGAAGACGGAACCGGCCGTGGAGACGAAGAAAATCCCGGAGGTCTCCGATGGCACCAAACTGTCTCAGACATAGCCAGACTTGTTCGATAACATGGAAAGTCGAGTTTAGCGTGGAAAGCCTTGTTCTACGGCGAGCCACGAAACAACTTTGCGCTGTTCGCACAAGCAACTTATACCGTTGTAAGAAAGAGCGGTATATATTTAAAGCTAGACGCATACGTCAAGCGAATTCGATTTCAAAGTACGAAAGGCGTTGAGAGTCGAAATACCTTACGTACCTATCTCATTTTATCCATTTTATATAAAATTACATGACGGCATTTATTATCGGAAAATCGTTGTACGTCGGGGTAATTTGCTCAGTGACAGTCATGGGCAATTATCCCAACGTACAATAACTAAAAGTGTCAAATAGCGTACGGGATATTTGTATGGCGTACAAATTATTCAAAATTATTAAGCGCCGCGTATTATTTAGTAATAATTAATTCCAGCCGCGCGAGTACACGGTAATATGATTATTCGATCGTGTAATTAAACAATGATCCACATCCCGCGTTCAACTATCAATAACGAGGTGAATACACGTATATAAAACCCGGCAGCTAGTTGCGTGCGTTGGTAAATATTAAGCCGTAACTGGAATATATTAGTTACATGTTGCATATTTCTCTCCGGCGGAATATCCCAAAAGACGAAACTCCGCTATCATGCATGCAACTACGCTCGGCTAAGTAAGTTCCGCGGTCGCAGTACCGCAGTCACGTTCTAACGTCATCGCGCACGTTTCTGCTATTAACAGGATTCCTCCGAGATGATACCGAGAACGGCGGGCCGGTGGCTGCTCTGCGCGGCGCTTACGGTCGCCCTGTGTCAAGGCCAGGAGGACTGGATGCAGTGCTCGTCGGCGTGCAAGTGCAAATGGGTGTCCGGCAAGAAGACCGCCGAGTGCATTAAGCAGAACCTCACGGAGGTGCCGGGGGACCTCTCGCCCGAGATCCAGAATCTCGATTTGACCGGCAATCGCATAACTCGCCTCATACATAACGCGTTCAGCCGCGTCAATCTGGTGAATCTGCATAAGCTGGCGTTGCGCGAATGCGGCATCGAGTCGATTCACGTGGACGCGTTCAACAGCCTCAAGATCATCATCGAGATCGATCTGTCGGGCAACAATATCCGCACCCTGCATCCGGGCACTTTCTACGAGACTCAACGGCTGCGAGTGCTGCTGCTCGATCAAAACAAGCTGAGGACGCTGGAGAACAGCCTGTTCTTCAATCTCACTTTCCTGCAGAGAGTGATGCTGTCCGAGAACAGACTGAATCAGATCGAGGAGAACACGTTTCGTAATGTTCCCGGTTTGAAAACCCTCGCGTTGGACGGGAATAACTTCAGCACTCTGCACCTACAGAGCTTCGAGAGCCTCAAGCTCACCAGTCTCGAGCTCCGGAATAATCCGTGGAACTGCAACTGCAATCTCAAAAGGTTCCGCGACTGGGCGATCGAGCGTACGTTGTACACCAAGCCAACCACTTGCCAGCAACCGCCCCACATGGCCGGCAAGATGTGGGACGAAGTTAGCAGTGACGAGTTCGCATGCAGACCGAAAATCACTGCCATCGGCCCGGCAACGAAAATCGAGATGGGCAAAGGAGACGTGACGCTCTCGTGCAGGGGATCGGGAATCCCACCCCCTCAGGTAATTGCATTTTCGTACAGGCATATACACACGATATAATAATGTTGCAATTAAATTGAAATTAATCTATTAAATAAAAATCTAATCTGTTAAAAATACACAGAAAAGAAATACGGTGTAATACCAATCTTGCCATTTTATTTAACAGTTCTTGTATACAGGATGTTTACGAAATACTTGGATAAACTTCTAGGGCGTATTCCTCGCGTCAAAATAAAGTAAACTAATGTTTACCTACGATTATTTAATAATAACATTAACGTAAGCTTTGTTTCGCAATCACTCATTTTTTATTGTGGGTTTATATAAACTTATTTTTTATTTTGACGTAAGGAATACGCTCTAGAAGTTTGTCCAAATATTTCGTAAATACCCTAATATATAATATACATCTCAAATTTTTGTTTTTATTATTGCACCAGGACTTCTTTGTGCTACCGCACTATGAAACATCGCACATGTCTGTTTCAGTTATCATGGAAACATCGTAATCGCGTTTTAAACAAACTCATCAAACGCCCGAACAACGATAGAGGATACATATTCTCAGTGAGCCAAGAATGGTTGAATCTCACCATTATCGACGCGATGCCCTCCGACAAGGGTGATTACGTCTGCCACGCAAAAAGCCCGGGCGGCGAAGCCGAGAGAAACGTGACACTGGCCATCGTGGGCGACGCTTTGGGCAGCAGGGAGAGCTTCATCAGCCTGCCGCTCGCCATCGGGCTGGGCGTCACCGCGTTGTGTCTGCTGATCGTCACGGTAGTGCTTTGCGTGTGCTATTGCCGTCGTCGCCGCATCAGGCATGACGAGAAGGGCCTCGAGGCGGCGTCCCTGGAGCATCACGGTCTCGGCGAACAGGAGAAGTCCCTGATCACAACTATCAATCCGGTCGTGAAGCCGCCGAGGCGTTACGAGACGCCCTCAGTGACGTCGCACGGTACGGAGATGACGGAGTTGAATCGCACGTTGCTCGACAACGACTCGGTTTTCGGTCAGTACACAGCCTATATTACTAAACAGTGCGTGGCTAGGTGCTAGCGAGAAACTACCTTACACTAGCTTCAACGAGCGATTTATCTCGAGACCGACCGCGTATTCGCGGACGTTGATCCAAGATCGAGCGGAATTTTCACCGACGAGGGTGGCCGATATGATTCTTAACGAGTCGCGCGGAACATCCGTCATTTCGTCGGGGTAATATTCTCCCCCCCCCCCCCCGCCCACCGAGCGGCAAACGACCGCTATATGTCGCTTATGTAATGTACAAATAGCGTGTATGCATGTGTGTGCGTGTAATCGTAAATCGATTCGTTCCGTGCCGAGCGCGGACTATCATATGCGAGAGAATTGTCCGACCAGGTGCCATCGATCTTAAGGTAAGGAGAGTCCGTCAAGTGGCGGCTAGGAGACTAATGAAGATCCGTTAGGGACGCTTATAATACATCAGGCACCCCTTAATATAACATTCGCGCTACGACACGGCGCGAACACATTCGTCATATCCGTGTTCGACCACTGATATCAATCCTTTTAGGAATACTATTTTCTGTAGATAAGAACGGAGCAGATTTTAATTTCTAGCTTCCGACGCGAGAATCAATTACGAGAGTTGCAATAGTAAATCGCTGTAATATATAATTGCAAAAGTAATGACGACAATAAGGTCCGCCAAGAAGCATGTTGCGTGTGTAGACTTGCGTGTCATCATTAATGAGATATTTTTCGAGATTACGAGATTACGCAGGGACTTGTATGGCACTCGATCAAATTTCTATGAATCTGGAACACTGTGTAGAGAAAAAAAATTTACGACCAGCACTTTAACGCGATCCGAATCTTAGAGGAATATTCAGTCAACTTTACGAGGATTAAGAGAACTTCGAAGCGGCACGACGCGACGTAGCGCCAGGCGTACGGTTGACCGACGACGCTCAGGAAATGCAGTTATATTTTTCAGTTAAATCGACAAAGCGCTCTTTCCCGATTACGATCGTATCACGACCCAATCGGATTAAAAGCACTCGTCCACGCTGGTCGGCGGGGATAATACCCTAATATCGTGGATCGTACGAAGGCAACGTCCTGGCGATGCTGTCTTTACTCACCACTCGCGGCGTCCAGCCTCTCGCGCGCGATCTTTTTTTTTCTTCCTGGTTTTTTTTTCTCGACCTCACTTAGATTTTCTTTTTTAACGTTCGTCCTTCTCTTTTGTTCATGTTCTCGCAGCTGACGGTGTCGGGAGCGGTGTCGTCGGCGGGGTAGGCGGCGGCATAGGCGACGACGAGAGGGATCACGAACGGGCCACGCCGGAACTCGACGGGGGTGGCAGCGGAAGCGGCAGCGGCGGCGGCGGCGGTGGCGGCGGGGGTACGTTGCCGCGCGGTGGTGCCGGTTACCACTACCGACAATATCCGCCGGACCTGCTGGCCTTCTCCGGCGGTCGCGGCGCATCGCCGACTAGCCAGGCGTCAACGGCGCCCGACAGCACGCGTCTGCCTAGTCAACACGTGATAACACCGGCGACGGCGACGACGACGACGGCCCCGTCGTACGGCTCGCCGACGTCAGGCCAGTATCACCCGGCCGCCTTCAAGACGCTGCCGCACAGCCGCAGCGTCACGCCGTACGGTCTCGGGCCGTCGTCGTCGTCGTCATCGATGGCGCCGGTGTTACCGCGTCACGGCTACGTGACGATCCCGCGACGACCGCGAGCGCCTAGCTGGAGCAGCGGACCCCCGACGTCGCCGAACGATGTCCTCGAGCCGGTGTACGACAATCTGGGTCTACGTACCACGGCGGACGGCAGCTCGATGCTGTCGCTCAACAAAAGCCCGGAACCGGCACCCTCGTCCATGAGAGGCCGGCCACTACCGAGCACGCCGGGGGGTTCGCACTACGGCACGATCCAACGTAGCACCCCGAACATTTTGGCCGGGGCGTTGGATCGGGCGGCGCCGGAAGGCGCGGCCGAGTGGCCGCTCAAGTTGGCGGACGAGAGCGTGAACGGCGGTCATCCGCTACTGACGCAACCGCAGCAGCAGCATCAGCAACAGCAGCAACAACAGGCCGCCAACAGCAACACCCTCGGCAGAAAGGTACCGCCGAGACCGCCGCCGAAACCCAAGAAGAAATCCGCCAACGGACCGACGCTGTACGAGGACGAGGGCGAAGACGGCACGGAAGTATGATACCATGGGCATCGTCCGCAATGAGGACGATTGGTTGTAGTGCGCCAGGATGGGGCGTGCGTGACCACACTTACAATAAACCGGTAGTGCCTTTCGAGACGCGCGTCTCGCACGCGCGGGACTTCCACTTCGTTCGACGAATCGCGGTCTGGAGGATGAACGAAATGTACGAGGGGACTCTGGAAGGACCTGAACTTTTAGGACTTGAACGGATGGATACAGGTGATTTCGACGGCCGAAATCGCAGACGATGACGATTTATAGAGATGGACACGCCGACCGGACATTCGTGTCACCTATTCCCCGTTCCTCAACTTTCCTCCTTCCTGTAAGTTATCTTGTAAGTTATTTATTGAACGTTACGGAGCATCCGAGGTATTCGAAAACCAGTAAATCGTGATCCGCATGAGTTGTTTTCTGAACGATCCGATCGTCAAAAAACGGGTCCGCCTTCCTCATCCCTCGTCTCCTTCCACGTATCTTTTTTATTTTTCCTTTTTTTTTTTCATCAAGTTCCTTTAGCGTTTTATTTGACGCTTGCCACGCGCCGTGAGGTGATAACGTGATAAATGTGAATAAGGTTCCGGACATTGCCGCCGGTATTAGTCGATAAGGCGAAAACCTATTCGCGTTTTGTGTGAAATTTACGCGAAGCATGAAGCAACTGGAAAGTACTGAACGCGAGTCGTTCCGCGAAGAGCGATACCAGTGAAATTCGTCTTCTATTCGTGTTAACCGGGTTAACCCCCATAATGGGAAATCGCGATCGTTACGGCACGATTCGCGTGTATAAAAGGGAAGTGTTAAGGTTTCAGGCAAAGGCAACGTTTTGCACATGTTACATTTACGCGGTAAACATGATGAGAATTTAACATTGTTAAGAATCTATCTAGCTGTTATACGCCTGTCGCGCGTTTCTTTTTTAAAACATTGAAATTCCGACGCCTGCATCGAATTGTAGCAGGACTTGTTGCATTCGCAAGCGACACCGAACTCTCATGCTAAGCTTACGTCGAACGACGTAATGATCTGTGTCCCTTCTCCTTCTGTAAGCGCATCGTTAGACCGTGCTCGTACCCGCGTAGAGGTATCCCATATTCCATCAGCGACGTTTGTATCCTAAAATTAGCAACAGGTATCGCTTGCGATATTTATAGCGGCGAACCGATCGGCAGTATCTCTACAAATATCGTTAACGCAGTACGGAATACCCTATGCTACCCTATATAACGGTGCCACTTTGTATTACGTTAAATGGATAATATCTATTACGGCAATTGTATAAATCTATAGTAGATGTAAGTGCTGCGATGACACTCGACGCGTGTTGGAAGTTGTAAAAAACGTATTGCGAAGTACATTAAAATGGTGTACAGTAAAAAAAATCTAAGTGACATATCCGCGCGTTTATTTCTGTCGATGCTAATTGCACGAGTATCGCGACCTTTGAAATTCGTGTAATTCATTATCGCCAGGATGACCAGGGATGAATAACAGCGCATTTTGTAAACGAGGCCAATTTGGCGTCGCTGGCCGATTGGTCTCCGTTTATCACCATCGTGCTGACCATGAATAACACTAAAAAAAAAAGACCAGTTTAATGTGTATATACATATACTATATGTACTCCTCTACGGACTCCAAATTCACTTCGGGACTTCAAATTAATTGAACGTTACGCGTGGTGCGTTCCAATTAGCAACAATTACAGCTCGATTGTTAACTACTCCGGCATATTCGCGCATAATATCCGGATCCGCGCGTAAAAATTATTGACCAGAGCGTATATATACGCTTGTGCGAGTGGACGCCGATTGCGAGTCGTCAAAAGGATGGCGCGATGTAACGCGGACGAATTGTCGGGACGGACATAATTTAAAAAGATGACGACATTACGACGTGTCGTAAACGCGGAGTGAGGAACAGAATTCAGCGCGTCCCCATTTTAGAGATACATTCGATCGCTGCGATTCTACCATCGACGACAATATATCGTATAAAGTAGAATGTCCATGCGAGCTATATATCATCGACGAGCGAGCGCGTTCGGACTTATGGACCCGAATACCTGATGGCCGATAAATCGTACCTCTCCTTGAAACTGGAAAACATGTGACTCGTCGGAGCGGCGACTTGTCGCGCGCACAGCCCAGGCGACGCATTTTTCTTTCGCATAGAAGTTAATGTCTCTTCGAAACGGGAAACTCATTCGAGCTCGTTTCTCTCTTTCCCCCCCCCCCCTCTTCTCTTCCATCGCGACGCGATTTCCGCAATATGAGTACAAGTGGTCCCTCTTTGCGGCGCGTCCATTATCCGCCGCGCTGGTTAACGCTGTCGATTCGCCGGTTCCGTTCCCGCGCGAAACATCTGGCCGCGATACATCGTGATAAGAGGACTGGCTCTACGTGCGGTTACCACCACCCACACACACACATGGAGAGCCGCTTTTCGCCCGTTGGCGATATTTCACTGAGGTAAGGGTAGGTAGGGAACGTTCTTTAACTGCGAATTTATCGCCGGCAACCCATCCACTCTTTATGCTTTTGTTACCTTTTTATCCGGGAGATTAACGTTTCCCTTTCTCTGGCTTTAGCAGGGATTTCGGGGACGCGATTATATACAACTTGTTGCGATTGCGCGACGGCGGCGGCGGATTTCTCGTAGCGAGAAAACGCATTTTGAATGAATCCCGACGCGAACTTGACTCACCGTCGAACGACACTTGAATTTAAGGGATGCTCTCCATCAATCCGTACCCTTGTTTCTCGGCAGCGACTGGGATCAGCCGCTGTTCAGGCAAAACACGGCCGGCTCCTACTCCATAAATGCATCATGCGGAATCGTGTCGCGATATATACGAAGCACCTGAGAAGAGATGCACTTTATCTCGACGGTAAACTCTGCAGCGAGACGCTTCTATCCCCGTACGATTGCACGAGGAAGTTTCGATTTATTAAATACCTCGGTACCTCGAACGTGAATTAAAGTAAAGATTCCTTTAATGCCGCTTAGATTTAAATGAAAAAGAAAGGTTTAGTCATTTTGCGCATTCCAAACCCTATCTCCCTGCTAAAGGTTTCCAGGGAACTCGAACGCTTTTACAGAAAAGAAAACTCTTCCCGGATCTCTCGACGGCGTCTCCAGGTCATTTTGGGTTACCCCGACGATCAAAGTCCCTCGTTTTGGGATGTTACATGAATTTTATTCGAATCGTTGATACAAATGTTTAGCTAATTTCGCGGAATAGATTGTTTTCAATTCTTTTCTTGTGTTCTTCTTTTTTTTAGGGCTTTCAAACCCTAATGGTTCTTCGACTTCGATTCACGGACGCATAAAGTGCGACGGTCGCCGAGAACCCAAAAAAAACCGGGCCTCTCCATGCCCGGATTACGCCAAACAGTATTAAGCGCCTGACGGCTACGGCTCGGGCGCAAAGAGGACGGCCGGGTGAGACGCGGCGGAGAAAATAGCAGCGCGGTCGTGTCACCTCGATTTTTCGCTGCGCCGCCGCGATCGACAAGCTCGGCGACTTATTGCGGCGTGTTACCATCTAGCTCTCGTGCGAGAAAAATGTTCAGTCGCGATGCGCCGCGACAGCCTGAGAAACGTTCCCGGTTTCTCGTAGGCCAGTGCCAACCGATTTTTCCATCCCACGACATCCATTTTTCTCACCCTGCGTTTCTTCGTGATCGTCGAATCAATGTTACGCGTTTGGAACATCGTTTTTTTCCCCGTATTTTTTCTTACTCGTATAGACCCGTAGCGCTGTTCCATTCAACGGCCCGAATGTGTCGTGTATGTACAAATGAGGAGAAAAAAAGGAAGCCGCGCTTTCGACGAGCGCGCGCGAAAAATCGAGCTTGCACAATCGGAGAACATCGGAGAACAGTATTTTCAGCGGCCTAGCAGAGTCGCGGCTCGCCCAACTCGACCGCCGTGCCGTGCCATGTACATACACTCCTTTTCTCTCTCTCTATCTCTCTCTCTTTTCCCCCTCCTTTAAATCGCACCCTATCCGTACCATATTGTAAATGAATAAATGATACACGATGGAAAGCCGCACGGCACGGGGTCCGGTCGTTACCGGCGCCACGAGTATATTTTTGTAATTTTGTATTTTGCATTGTGCGCCTTTCTCCCACGTCCCGGCGTCTCACTCGGCCAATTACCAGAGAGAATCGATCTCGTTTGTCGATACCCACCATTCAAACCCTTCGGACACATTTGCGATGGAGGGTAACGTGAGATCCATCGGCGCACGTTCCGTTTAACACTGTGGGAAAGTGCTGCGCGCATCCGACAGTTAACGAAGCGAATGTACGTACGTCATACCAGGCATCGGGGATAATTTATTGATTGTCGCCAAGCGTATTCCCGAATTGCGATTGCGAAACCCCGTCTCACCTATATGCGTCCCGCGCCGTGGATGTTCGACGCCGATCGATCGATCACGGAAACCGGGTAACACCTATCTCTCGTCTATTTCGAATGCGATCGACCGCACGTATCTTCTGTACGAAGCCTGCTCTCGCTCTCGTAACAAGGAACTTATTAATTCTTGACAACGAGCTTTTTTTTTATTCGAGGATAACCGAGATTCTCAAATAAAAACCCTTTAAATGTCAACGAAGCAATCGAACGTTCAAATCCACGATTCTTTTTTTACTTTTATACGTAATGTAAAAACGCATGTGGATATATTTTAAATCGTTCTCGATTTATTCGAGATATTCCAATTTTCGTTTGTCGAAGATTTTTGGTCTGCTATAATTACGTTTTCCAAGATACGTAATTCACCGTTTATTGTCGGAGCAAAAAGGGCAGCATTGCCCTGGACTGAAATACGTTATCGGGGGCGAAATTAAAAACGCGATTTTACAGCGAACGAAAAAAACCGACGTCATTAAACACTTTCAGGATATCGCGATGTTGCATCGCGAATTCTCAGCGCTCAATTATCTATCCAACTGCCAACTATAACGCAATGTCGTTTGCGTGATATTTCAAATATCGTGCACGCACACTCCTCGCTTCCAATGCTCCCTTCGATTTGTACGTGCTCGCGAAGTGTAACGGTAATTTACATTAAAATGGGGTAATTTACGACTGGCACAAGCAAGCTCATTTAGACCGGCTCCCATTTGTACGCGCCACACACAGAGCTTGACTCGGTCAAAATTTTTGTCGAAATTAATAGTGGTGGCGTCATTTCAGTAATTTTAATATATTCGCATATCTCGCGCATTTCATTAACATCGTTTATATAATTTTAATACCATTGGTCACTAAAATTATTAAATGTTTTTAATCAGATGCAATTCAGATTAGCTGTTATGATTTCAATGAAACTGTTGATTAAATTTGATAAAATATTGAACACAATATTTTGAACATAATTTTAAAATCAATACCAGTTTTTTTTTCACTTTCGATTTCTTACGTACAAACGTTTGCTTGTACATACACGAAACGATAAACGTGAACATATTAAATTTACGATATGACGCTTCACTCTCTGCCAATGAGCGGTCAATCGAAGGTACCGTCCAATAGATCAGTCCAACTTACAATCTTCCGAGCAATTATTTGTGGATCTAATTAGAACACTTTTTATACGACGCGTGCGTTTTGTAGAGTATAGTTCGGTGAAATCGTTCATACAGACCTAATGCGTATCAAATACTTAGCATTTTGCACTTATTGCAACATTCCGTGGGGGATAATTTTGTGCTCTACAATTGCGACATATGAGATGTTTACACATATTCCAGCAAGCTGTGCACATTGCAGTTCTGTTTCCTCAAATCTCAAGTAAGGTTTAAACAAGACATTTACAGAAAAGACATGAATTCTTTAGATTATATGCGTCTTTAAATTATATGCATTCCTGACACAAGTACGTAGAAATATTCTGAGCAGATTTTCCGCTTGCGAATTCCTTCTATATATTGGATTTTTATAACACGCACACATACACAAATTTATATTATTATTTTTTTATAGTGTGCAAAAATATTCGGTAAATGACTTAATTATTCGTCTCTCAAGACTGACAACCTTAGAATTAGGGTAACGTCTTCTGATTTTACGTACTTTATGGACGCAGTCTTCTCGTTGCTGCTCGATAGAAGAGAAATTGAATTTGTTATGCGAAATGACGCGCAACGCCATCGTGAATTTTGCCTAAGTTAACTTTGATACGAAATACGCTATGGAAAACTGTTCCTTTTCTAAGAAATAATTCGTTAATCCATATATATTTGTACAGTGAAACTTACGTGTGAAACGTAAATAATTATCATTGACATCGATTGAAGCCAATCGAACTAGATTCGTTTGCTCCCATTATTACTTGTTACAGAACGATCGTTGTTTAGTTGATAAGTTCTTCGCCTAGCGCATAAATAACTGTTAAAACTGCCTAATTGCCGTGTCGAATGGCGCTAAATCTCGATGAAGAAAGAATGTGACGTGTACAAGTAAAATAAGAGCATACAAAGCTGTTGCACGAAAATGCGAATACGTTGCTTATATGGATAATAATTCTGTTGAACTCTATAATGTCGCCTAAGGACCGCATCTGGCTAACTCGTGCGCAACGAGCATTTCTCTACTGCATCATCATGAATCGCGAATCAAAAGGGGAAATAATATTTTATTGACGCAATTTCGTATCCCGGACGAGAGTACTTGCGAGATTGTGGGAGTTAAGAGAAGTAAGAGGATCGAAAAATGTTTTTATCCAGATATGTAAGTCGGAATGATAATGTGAATGTAAATGATTTATATCTGCGTGTCGTATGTTGTAGATAATAATCTTAATCCGAAATGTAATATCCGCGTTTTATGCCAGATTCCATTATGCGTTAGAAGTATCGACGATCGAGGGAAAAATTTCATCATTGTTAACGGAATATTTTTACCGTTATTCCTATTCCTACTAATGTATTCTTACCTATTTGTACTATTATTTTTACTATTGATTTTACTATTCCATTACTACTTTTAATATTATATTATATTTTTATTTTATTAGATAATATATTATTTTTATTTTATTAATATTATTTTATTTTTTAAGGTATTGCTATGATGATTATATTTACGCTATACAGTTACTAATACCGCCATTATTGTCGTCATTACTGTAATTATTTATGAAAAAGATACCTTGCCTTGTAATGAATGTCTCAATTTTCAGTGGTTTAAATATAAATTTTCGGCCGCGATTATGATTCATATGTACAATGTATTAACATACTGGCGCTGTAAATATTATACATATTTTATAAATGAAATATTTAGTGTGATTGTAATATTACAATAATGTACTGAAAGCACCACTCTGTACACTCCACTAAATATATGGGTTAAATTTTAATAAATATTTCCCGACCCCAAATCTGATCCATTTTTACCACCTGTTTTTCAGATATCTTTATTGTTGTTATTTGGAATTGATAAATAAATAACGCATGTTTTATTTAAAAGGATGTATATTTTTGTTAAGAAAATAGCTGCAATACAGATTTTTCATAATTATTCTCATACTACACAGGTAATCAGTACAAATATGTATATAATGAGTTCTTATCTTAAAATGTTAAAATTATATAATTTCTTAAGTTTTCTCTTCTTTGGTCTCTTTCTTTAGTTTCGACAGTGCAGTCTCACCGTATTTCGCCACCAGCTCTTCGACAAATTCATCCTTCAATTTTTTAAGACATCTGTAAAAATAACTAGAATAGAAATCCAGACAAGATGGTTGTATTTTGTATGACAGACGTCTAGCTGCTTCGTTGTGACTCCTAACAAATTTTTAAAATAAAAGATCTTACGCTATATTACCTTCTGTAAACAGAATCTGTTCTAAATTTGCCGATGTCTAAACTAGGAGCATGAGGTCGATGAATAATAAAGGTATCCGGTAAAACGATGTATCTGCACACAATTTTAGTTTCCGATTTAAATCGTGCGCTACGCTTAATCAGACTCATTGTCAGATAGATATTTCATTATTCAAATGAATAAAATTACTGCGACTTACTTATAATCTAGTGCCGTTAAATGGGTCACGTAGGAAACTTTATTCCAACCAAATCCGACAAATCTGGTGTCGTATTGCGGAGCGGATTTCGAAACTACTATGTAAGGTTCGAAATCCGGCTCCCATGAAACCTACAACGATCCATTCGTTATGCATATTTGTTTTTCTTACATATATGTAGATATATCAATTATCTTATTTATCTTTAACAATGTATTAATATAGTGTTCCCAAACCGGTTCCACCGATAGTTTTTTTAATTACGGATTTCGCAACGCACTTGGTAAGGCTCCGTGCTATTTCGCCAAAAGCTGTAATTCGTGGCAGCGTGTCCTTGTGTCCAAACGTGATAGCGAAACGTGTACAAAATACCGCGTTTAAGAAATTTCAGTAGTTCCTCCTTGTTGGCGGGGAACGTGAACCTGTAAGAGGCAACTTTTTCTTGATAAAACAATCTATTTCGATATTGTGACAGCGGAAAATTACCTATAGCGTTCGGTTTCGAATGCTGGCACGATCAGAGCTACTTTGTCCCTTTCGTTGATATTTAATCGATTGATGTAGTTCATGATATTTTCATACAGACCAAATTGCGGCAAAAAGTCGACGTCAAGTTGGAAGACGAATGGAGTTGGTACGTATGATATCGCAGTGTTTCTTAAATAATTGATAGGGTAAAGATCCTGAATAAAAAGTAACAATTTGGGTAAAAAGAGAAGTCAGTTATCGAATTTTTAGAAATAGTCCAATGCAATGTAATATAAATTTTAATTTTATAGTATTCACATAGTTTAATGGCATGTCATTAAAAAAAATACAGCTTTAAGAAGTGTGATATCTTTAATTCTTTAAATTCCGAAAATTTTTATCTAGAAATTACGTCCTTTTTTTTATTCCGCATCAAATTACAAATTCACTGTTACTTTTTAGAAACACAAAAAGACGCACCCCGTCTTTGTACACGACGTGATAAGCGATGTTCCTTCTCGTACGCAAATCCGCGGAGCCTCGTACGAAGTCCAGGAAATTCTGGACCTCCGCATCGGTTAAGTAAAGCACGACGCTTATAGTCCCCGGCCAGTGTTTCGATAGCGCTTCCAATAGCGGTATCCTTTCGACGCTGCATTGAGTGACTAAAGCAACATCCGTCGGCGAGTACACGTTGTATTCGTACTCGAGAAGGAAAGGATGCGTACGGTACAAAATGGCAGCGCCTTTTTCGAATTCTCGACACGGGCTCGACTCGTTGTACTAAAAAAAAAAAAAAAAACAAGAAAAAAAATACGCGTGCGACGAGAGAGTCGTTTGCATTGAACAAGAAATACCAGGAGATTTTATAGGATCTCTTTTAACTCACTGAAAGCGCGCTGTCGTGCTTGTCGCAGCCGAATAAGCGCTTTCGCAATAGATTGCCGTCCATCTCGAGGAAGACCCGGTGCAGTTTTCGAAACTCGTTAACGTGCTTATTGTGAACGTCTTGCTTTCGCGGAGAATTCCAATGGAGAATCTAAAAAGTGAAACGAACGCGCTCGGTTGATCGATTCCCATTTGCGCCCTCGCGAGACGAGAACGAGACGGTACAATCGAAGTTACAATGGGACGTACGTTTATGCGATTCGTGTCGCGATAGCACGTGTCACTTATCGTGTGATCGCTCAGCTGTATATTCCAGGTACACTCTATCTTGTACACGATACTCGGCCGCTCGTTGATCACCGCGTTTATCACGTCCTGATCGGCCAAGCTGGTCTCCGGTATGTATCCCAACACCCGTCTCGTCACGCTCTCCCAGGACCTCGCGAACCCTTCGTCCCGTAAACGTCGCAGGTGCATCAGCATCACGCCGGTGTTGAATCCGCGGCCCAGAGCCGGCCACGGCCGCTGGCCGTACGATAACGCCTTCACGTACCAGTTGCTCTGGTTCTCGACCAGGCCCAGGGTCTGCCAGGCCGAGAATCCCTCGAACATCCGCCACAACGGGTACATATCGGTCAGGACGGTCACGTCCGTGTCCAGCACGAGCACTTTGTCCTCGCGCATCGCGTCCGGCAGGATTAACTTCAAGAGACCATACACCCCCGAATAGTGCTTGTTCGGTATCCACGAGACCCTCGGCACCCAAATCTCAGCCTCGTAGAACGTTACGTTTACTAAAAATAATCCCTCGGAGCGATCAGAGGCGAAAAAGAGGTATATCTGTCGCGCGATTTCGCTCGTGACACGCATTACCCGGTATATAAAAGCTATCGGTATATTATATAAAAAGGGAATATTTTTTACTCTTTACTTTTGAAAATCTCGATTTTAATCAAACTTGGCGAGAGCGCACCTATATTGGAAAATTTAACAAATTCAATTAAATGCATGTTATATTTACGTCAGAAAAGTAATTTTTTTCTCTCTTTCTCTTTCTCTCTCTCTCTCTCGCTTTTTCTATACATCGTACTCAACGTTAACACGGACGTGGGATAAAAATTAGGTTTTTTCTGCTCCCGTGTGCGTCACAAAGAGATAGTGCGTGCCCTATCGTAAAAGCGTACAAACCATGTGGCAAATCCCACGTTCGGAACAGGGTCGAAAGGGTTTTCCTTGCAATTTCGTCGACGAGCAAATGAAAATGCAACGGATTCGTGCGATAAAACAGAATGGACTTCACTACGGTTACGAGGGCGAAGGTTGAATTGTATCCGGCGCACACCATGGCTACGTGTACCGTGTCGCATTTCACCTTGAAAATGTAGAACATCATTTCGCCGCGTTGTTGTACGTGGCCGGGCGCTGATGAAAGAATAAGGTTTACGAGCGCTTTTACCTCGAAATTGTTTTTTAACTGCGACCGATCTTCCGCCCGCAAATCCGACCTCTCCGCCCCCATCGATAACGATCGCCACTTCCCTCCGACGCTCGATTTGCCTATCTCCGCGGAGGGGACTGGAAACAATGTGATCTCTGAATGCTTTTCTGAGTACTAAAGAGAAATCGAGTGCATATGACGAATGTTGCAATTACCGTTCAACAGCAGGTACAAATAAAAGACCACGGACGGTACTAAGACGCCGAACAGACATCCTAGCCATGATCGAGCCATTGTAATATGCCGCGCATGTTTCCCAATTCGCGATATGATGTCGCGAAGAAATTAGACTAGACGGATGTTGGAATCTATGGAAGAGAGGAGGAATTAATTCGAGACACTACGTACGTGCGGGGCCATTTCCATGCTTTAAAAGTGAAAAGGGATAACTCTCGGTGCGCCTAACTCCATGCCTTGCAATTTACCGAGAAACATTATCTTTGATGCCTTGATATAAGAAAGGCTCGCGAGTCTCCAGTTTCATCTATTGTAGACTTCAAACATGCTCGGAGCGAGGCAGCCGAATTTGCAAAAAAAAACACGCTGTCATTACGGTAAATTTAATTAGCGCTTAATAATATCTTGGTGGGGCGCGGGGCATTATTAAAATAGACGTACACTCTACTCTTCTCTCTCTTTCCTCGTTCATTCGGCTCGCTCGATACCTACTGATGCGTGATGAAAGTCAATAGATCATGTTTAACATGCGGGTTTATGAATGCGTTATATATCCAATTTCCTCGTGTTATACAGATAACAACTGCGAGCGCGACACAATCATAATGCATGCAAATTAGCGCCATAAATGAAAATGTTGTATTCCTTGCGCAGAAATTCGGGATAATTATGCCGCGAATTCATGCATCAACATTCGGCGCACGTTAACAGGCGGACATTAATATCAAGCCGCGCCGATAAATAAACGGAGCCTGCAGATATATTAACTTTCTATTTGAATATAAAACTTTCGAGAGTCGCCGGTTTTAATAACGTTTCCTTTTTTAATGCCTATTTGTTCTCCTGAACCGATTTGCTGCTTTAAAAATATATGGAAACCTATTTCCGCTTCGCGGAAATATTAAATACAAATAAATTTATCATTTACAAATTACATATGTTCTCTCTCGTTTAACTCATAAATTTTAAATTTCCGCTTTAAAATTTCAATTTGTAAATACGTAATTAATATGTTTTCATATTTAATCTTTAAATTATAAACTTTTAACGTTTAACTAAATTCTCGACTAAATTTAAAAATTTTGATACTGAACACACATTTATCATATATAGAGCGTCCAACAAATAATTTGGACAACGAAGGACTAAAACGCTATTCACATTGAGAAAGAAGCGTAACACGGGAGATAAAATATTAATTTATTAACGTTTATGTAATTGCGATAAGACGGACACATGCCACGTAATAACGCTATATTGAATACAATTAAAAATCAATGAGAAGAAGCTTAAAATTAATTTCGTGCCGGATTAAAGCGAGGCCGAATCTAGAGGTAAATACAGGACGTTTGCCCAGCCTTTTGGACCATCCTGTAACCACCTTCCGGCTGCTAATCGCACACATGCGACTGTTGCGACCCAATTTACATTCTTGAACAGTGACGTGCTTGTAACTTTGTACTCGCACATTCGGTGACGAAAAAAAAAACGATCCGAATTTCAGCTCATTTTTTATTTCACATGCCACAGCCTCGAGTATCATTCACAGTTACATTATCGATGACGTACAGCTATACGCTATACAATTCAATGAACGAATCGATTATTTACAAACGTCGACAGTGCGTCGCGTTTTCGTCTAATATTTTTTCCCCTTTTTTAAATTTATTTTCTCCGTACAGCAGGAAGTGACAGAGAATACCGGCAAATTATTCAAAAATCTAAAAAAAAAAAACCAAAACAAGTGACAATCTCATTTAATTTTTTCCACGGTTATACATCGACATACGCGCTCATCTAATTTTCAAAAAAAAGCTTCAATTCGAACACGACAGAGGCGAGAAATTTCGATAAATAAAATAAACATCCAGTTCCATACAATAATCCCGTTGCAATCTGCTAAGCCGCTCCGGAGCCGGAGCCGGAGTCGGAGTCGCTGTGTCGCTCCCGCAACAATACGCCGACGATAATGACGTTATTACCAGTACGTACCCAGCGCCGGCTCGACTGTCGTCTCTCCCGTTCCGCGCATCCGGCGGTGCGGTCCCCGGGACAAGCGGAAGTGCCGTCGCGATTTCTCCGCGGGGCGAGAGACACGTTGGCGCGCGACGCTCTCTCTCTTTCTTTCTCTCTCTCTATCTCTCTCTCGAGAGAGGCGACGTGTCCCGCTATTATTGTCGCCGGCGACGACGTAAATTGCCGCAATTAGCCCCGTCGCGACGATAACGCGATAGCACTCCCACCGGCCGAGTATCGCAAAACGCCCAGGAGGAGCCGCTCCTCCACGATCAAGTCAACCGAACGACGTAACGTCGCCACGGAGTGACGTGCCGCAACTACCGCCGCGCGACCGAAGCTTTCGCGCTGTCGTAAAACGCCCGTGCCCGTCGGCAACGAACGTGCCCGGCAGAACGACCCGTTGTCGTCGCAAGATGGCGGCCGCGTCTCCGTCACGTGCGGCAGAACTCTGCTCACTCTGCTATACTGCGGGGCTCCGTTCCGACCGCAGCACCGCACCAGCCGTACATGTATTATGCAGACGCAACATGTATTATGTGCATCGTATTAATATTGTTGCTGTACGTATTATACATTTATATGTATTTATATGTAAAATATGTATATACGTATAAATAACGTGTACCTAAACGCGTTTATTCCGTAAGAAGAATGTTTAGGTGAATAATTGTTTAACATTTCATAATTTAAAAAATGTTTTTCAAAAAAAGTGTTGAAAATGGTGCCAGATAAAATATGTACACGTATAAATGCGTGTAAATGAGTTATACTGCAGGCTGTAACAAAAATATGTTGAACAAAACTTTAGAAATATATGTTCCTCATACTCAAAAAACGAAAATTCATTATGTTAACATGATTCTAAATTTATGAGATATTAGCGTTTGTTATTTTTTTGTATAATGTACAGATTACGCTGTTCTATATTCGTGGTATCTTAAAATAATTGTAAGAAAAAGGTAAAAAAAAGTCGCCAAGTATGAAAGTCGAACAAAACTGTTTTAATACATCCAATCAAAAATATAAAATAATTGTGCATTGCAACACAAATGACATTGATTTCCGTAAGAAGAATGTTTAGGTGAATAATAATTATTTCACATTTTATAAATTTAAAAATCAGAAATTTGCGCGAAATAGAAGGAGGAAATATGATTGAAAAATTAAATATCTTTTCTGAAATTAAATGTCGACCTTCAGTCCTGAGGTAAGCCTCTGTGCGCCGCCTTAGTAACTCCCGAACACAATTAATGAATATCCCTAATATGTTGCGAATCATCTCACAAGCCGGAGTGTTAGTATTCAAGTATTCAATTAATAGATTTTTCAGTAAGTTCTATATGTCTGCCCTGAGAGCCTGAAAAAGGTCTTAATAAAAAACCCACCAATAATACCAAATGTTATGGGCAACTGTCGATAAATTGACAATAAACTCTGATATCTCAGAAACTAAGCTTTTTTGGACTGGTGTTAATATAATAAATTCTATTTGAGTATGAAAAATGCATTTCTAAAGTTTTGCTTAACGTTTTTATTATACCTTGTGATTCTATTTCCCTTCACGAATAAATCTGTAAATCTTGCCTACATACATATGAATAAACAGCATATATGTATATTTTATTCTAATTTATTTTCGTATCTTTTTGAAGGTTGATTATAGCGCATAAAAATGTGATTAACTTAGAAAAAAGAGAGTTGTCTTCTCTTGTCGTCGCGCAGGCTCATTATAGTAGGTTTATTAAAAAAAAAAAAAAACGAAGAAAAAGAATAAAGCCACGAAATCTTACATCGCCGCCTTAGATCTAGTGTACTTAAATAAATTTAGGTATGACACAATGTCCCCGGTGGGTGGGGGCAATTAGTGGATTACAAGTAAATAATGCGAAATGATACATGAATAGCGTACAAAAGTTCTACGTTCCTAAAAGAAATTTGATGTATAAAATTTCCTCTAATTAATCTCCGTGGCCTTGCTCGGACTGTAGGGGATGGACTCCTCGTCCTCGTTGATTTTCCGCAATCGTTGCAGATCCGCTTGCCGCGTTCTGAAATACAGCGATCGTAGTCGGTTTTAGTCGCGATTGTGCACGAGATACCACCTCGGAATTAGCGGTGAAGTGCGTTCGATACCTCTCTAAGATCTCCTCGTGTTCCCGGTGTTCCTTGCGGCTCTTGAGGGCTCGATACCCGACGCAAATGACTATCAACAGAATGGGGATCAGGCAAGCGAGCACTATGCCGGTGGTAATTCCCGCTTGACGGGAGCTATATTCCTGCTGACCTGCGGTGTGCATAACGAAATACGTCGTACATTATATACTACAAGAACGTAAAAACAATAAGTAATCGAATAATAATCAGAAAATCGAATCCGAATGGAAACAACTATTCACGTGCCATCAATTGAGCACGGATTCGCTAATCGGAATTTCACAGTGATCGACCCATATAAGGCGGTCTCTTCAGAATAACATATTGTTTTTCTGACATAGTCTATAATCAGGATATTCCGCGTAAATTTTTATTATTTTCTGTAGATAATTAGCTGATAGTATAATAAAGAGATATTTTATTTTTCGGCGGGACACAAAAATATTAAAGCAATGCGACCAGTTTCTTCTCATATAGGCCTAATTTAAATAATCTATTGGATTTTCTATTGTCAAAAAATAGTATATCTAAAATTACCCAAATCAATTTACCATAAAATCTTTCACGAAATTTATCTCATCAAACTAGCTCATAATTTTTTCTATAATTATAACCAATTTTAATCCCGCTAATAATAAAAATAGCATTATTATTATGAAATGGATTTCTCATAATAATATATAAATAAAATATTTAAATGAGATAAGGAGAGATGGGGAGATAGTGATAGGAAAAATTTACAACTCTGGTGGAAATTTCCATTCCATTCTAATGCTGTTCTAATGCTACATCGTAATGATGTCAATCGTTCTATTTTGTTATCTCAAACATTCTGTACATGCATGTGGAATAGAAATTTCCTGTCACCTCGTTTAATGATGTATAAAATTTTATTAAGACTCTTACAATACGTGAACACAAGTATATGTGATTAAGCACTAGCGTTGCAATTATATAAACCGATTATACAGTTAAATAGAGTTGCTATTGCATTTAACCGTTGCTTAGAGCCACATAATGTTTGATTTATTATGTTAATTGAGAGGTTGTCATTATGTACATACATATAAGTGAAATAATATGTGCACTCTGAATGTAATTAATACTGTAACTAGTGTAACTATTTCTATTCCACAGCAAGAACAGTATATATATATATATATATATATATAATATATCTATTATCTACAAAACACCAAAACGGCACTGAACGTATACGGAAATGATAATGGAGTTATGTTCGGAATATCATCTAAATCTTCTATAAAAAGAAATGATCAGCAGCAGCTGTTTTTATGCTAAACTTTGATCAAACTTGATTTTGATCAATCGCGCGTTAAATTAATTTTATGCTCGATATATAGATATATATATTGCGACAGATAAATTTTATATGTGTGCAAAATGTATATTATTTGAAATTGGAATCAAGGTACATTGTCATGGTCACATATACACATACATACTGACTCAAATGACGCGTGCAAATAAAGCAGTTTCATCTGAGCAGAATATATCAAAATATATTGTTTCTACTACAACTGTTATGTACTATATTAAGAGATGAATATCATAATCTAAACGTCGCTCTCTTTCGTAGGGCTGCCTGTTTTTCTAATCGAATCCGTGCCCGAGTCCGACCCCGCGGGCGAAATGGGATCCTTCAGATCCCATTCTTTATCCTCGAAATCAATATTCGGTCTGTTGGGTAAGGGTTCGTGGGTGCGGTACACTTTGTCATAACTACGGCGCTTCCTAGTGCCGCTATTAGTTTCAATTGTGCTAGTGTCGCTAATTGGAGTAATGGCCCTATCGTCATACGACTTTAACGGCGCGTTCTGCCTCAACGTGGATTCATTGTCGATACCAGAATCGCGCTCGGAATAACGCCAAGATTTCATCGAACTCTCCCGCGAGTGGTTCCTTCTTACATAAATAAAGCCGCCGACGATGCAGGCCACCACGGGTATTAACACGGCGCAAATAATGCCCATTACGGTCCACGCTGTACGCTGAACGTACTCGATGTGACCTATATTTATATTATAACAAACGTATCAATCGTAGCACGAGAAACATATTGATTTGAAAATCCCGAAGGAAAGAGGAAAAGATATCGCATTGAGAAATATCAGAGAGAGATGAAGGGAGAAAAAATGAGATTCGAGATACGAAAATCGTGTCAAATTTAATACGTTAAATTTGTTAGCAGTTCTATGAACTCGCTACGGCGAAAATGTATTCTTGTTGATTAATTACTCGACTGTATAAGATCAGACTCGATTTAACTTTTAAAACAAATTGATTCTCGGAATTTGAGTCACGCCTCGAGTTAATTGATCTGGCAAATGTGCTACCGTTAAATATTCTCTCTACGCATTATACCTTATTGCATTCCTTATTCTCCTACCTCGTTTAAGTTCGTTAAGCGGATACAGTGAGATTGCAATGAGAAACTGATAAATAATGGCGTACTTACGAAGGCATTCCGTGTATCCGTATTCCGGGGTGTTCCATTGTCCCTCTGGCGTGCATACTCGACGTTGATCGCCGATCAATATGAAATCCTGATTGCATTCGAAGCTGACTTTTGTGCCCGGGATAAATAGAAAGTTGCTCTTGCGACCAAACCGTGGCGTTTCCAGTATACCGCAGGATACAACTTGAAAATTAAAATACACACACACACGCATATATTGTGAACATATATATATATATGTATATGTATAATATATATATACATATATGTATATATAACATACGGCTAGAAAACTAAGTTTTTCAATGTGTTTAGATTTTTAGATTATTAAGTTTTTAAATTATAATAATTATCAAACTTACTTTCTTTACTATTCAACGCTCGGATTTGCGTGTAGGTATCGTAATAATTTCGGGTAAAGTGCGCTAAATCTCGATTCAACGTCATAGTGTAATCATACTGACACTGATACGATTCGCCGCACAGATCAATCGCGCGGTTTATGTCATGCGTCCTATTCACTGGGAGTATCTCCATCGGATATTTTCGAAATTCTGGCTCGAACGTGCGATTAGCATAATAGCTCGCCGTTCTACCGAACTCCCTGTGGAATAAACCCGCTCCTAACATTTGGGTCTCCTTGTCTTCCAACATCCAATGTATCGCGAAATCTCTGTGAATGGTCTCTGAATGATTCACGCTAGTAATTGGGACTTGATATCCGTGTGGATTTGTCAGATCATCTATGCGGTCAAAATTCCAAATGCCAAACAATCCTCTAGTTTTATTCTAGAATAAAAGAGTAATATTTTCTAACATTTCTCGCATTTAATAAATATAAATTTAGAATATTTACTGCGTATTTCTATATTTTATTTAAATTTTGCGTATTTGTATTATATTGGTTTCCTTGTAATGTAATAAAAAGAAACATTCTTTTCTTACCACATATGACCATGGTAGATACGTTCGAGCGGATAGGAACCCCTCGTTCTCTACGACTTCTACTCCAGCACCAGTGTCGAGCATAATAATGACCTCGCTCTGATTCAAAATATATGTAGGAGTGTAAACGACGACCCCGGCGAAATGTTGGAATTTTAAGGATTGCCTATCAAAGTATATTCTTTGACCATCCGCGAAGACATCGAGCCGATATCGCCATTGTGCGTCTTTAGGTCTCAAACGAACCTCGATGGTAGCCGAATTATTACCTCTCACTGTAAAATAATAATTGTCAATATAATAACAATATTGATATTAAATGAAAACCTTAAGAGTGCAAATGAAGAGCGAAATTAGTTGTTCTGTTAGAAAATATTCATATAACAGAACAGTAGAAGCTCACCTGATATCGAGGTGAGATGCGTCGCCATCACTTGACCGTAAATGTTGTTCGGCAATTGCTCGAATCTACCTTGTATATCGAGTTTATCTCTGATATCGTTTACTCGTAATAGAACGAATTCGCCTTTGCCGTTGAAGGTGTACTCCACACCGTCAAACGTCACAAAGTGAGGATCGCCGAATACTGTCGCCACCCCCGGCGATTGATAGGCTATGCAATCCTGTGACGGTCTTCTTTCGAATCGGAACGTCTCGCAACCGACAGCCTGTTCTTCCTGCCAGAGACAACATGCATACATAGGCACCACGTCGTGCCACCAATGCGAGAGAGTCGGAACTTTGTTAGCCTCATTCCACGGGAAGAAGCCCAAATTGTGAGATCGGTGCGGTCGCGATCCCCATTGCTGGTCATAAGTCAGCATCAGATAACCGTTTTTATCGTAACAACATTGTTGCTCCGAACCGTCCATGCTGAAATAGCGTACAATGTTAAAGGATTACTTTACTTTAGCCATTAAGCTGCCGTTAGGCATTAAGGCAATAATCCATATTCTACAATAAATTACAAGTAAATGGCCCGTCCGAGAAGTTAATAACTTTATCAGTTATCATATAAGTGTGTTAGAAATAGATAAACTGTCCTTCCAAAGCGTAAGATTACTTACTTGGGCGCACCTGTCCTCACGCAGTGAGACGCATACTGATTATAATAGCAGTCTATATTCGAATCCTTGTCGCAATTGTGATCCGGAAGGAAGCGACCTTTGTCGTACAAAGCGTGATCCAGGATGCAAGGACAAAGCGCTACTTCAGCCGCAAAGTTTTTGAGATACCGATCATGCATAATCCATTTGTCGCAGACTTTCTGAGGCCATTTCGACCCATATTGCCGTTCCCATTGTGGGCCAAAGTACCAACCCAGTGGAATCGGCCTGCTCCACAGGCTCCTGCAAAAGATTATATAAAAATCGTTGAATCTCAAACGAATTATCGTAAATTAAAATTATTTTATCCTGCGAAACCTACGGCGTTATTGACAGTCCGGAATACAAGTGCGGTTCGGTCAAGTTGATCTGAATAAAACCAAACACCATGTCCAAGTGATACGGATTATACGCGTCTCGGTATTTGGCTGGTTTGATGACGTAATTACCAACATTGGTATACGAGCTCTGAAATGTATATAATAAATTAATTGACTGCTATTCCATCTTTTTACCATTTCGGATTGTCTCGTACGAACATCCAGAACTGTTATGTGTTCAAACTCGGGTCTTGTCTTGGTTTCCCTGTATCCCCATAACGATATATGTATCCCCGCTCCCAAATTGGTAGTTAAATTGTACGCGTTCCATGTGATTTTTATTTCCGCGGGGTCCTTCAAGTGAACGGCCTCTTTATCGGTGAAGAAAATCCTCTCTGTCGCCGTTGCGGGAGTTTCTACGAGAGCGGAAGTGTCATGCAATTTTATTGCGAATAACAGAAAAAAATTTCGATTTCGTTATCATATTAATATATAATGTTAAAATATAATAATATGTATATAATTAATTATTAATATAATCGAAGAAATACGTTCAATATTGAATAAAAGCGATCGCGAAGAGAGATCTTACCGACGAAATATTTTCCTTTCCAATCGTAAGTGCCACTGTCGATGGCGACGTAGAACCGTATGTAGCCTTCGTACTTCAAAAACGGCTGTACGCAAATCGCGCGATTTCTGTCTATCACCGTGCCCATCACTACCTCGTTCTCAAAACGGCACTTGATCTTCTGACTCTCGTTGAAACACGGCCCGGTGATGTTGACAACGGTGCCACCCAACATGTTCCCAGACTCCGGTGCGAAAACCAGCGGCAGATGAGCTCCAGCTGTGCATCACATCCCGCGGTAAAAATCGTCATTCTTTGGCCAATAATTGTTAAAAACGTCGATCTCTTACCTATGTCCTTATTGCAAGTGCCCAGCATTATTTTTTCGTCTATCCTGAAAATGTGCCGTCCCGGGAAACCGTTCGCCCATCCCCTACTCGTTAAGTCGCGGATCGTGGTCGCTTGAGAATAAGGCTTATACTCGTAACTCTGAGTACCGTTTCCAGCGTTAAATCCCACCTAAAAATGAGTTCGCGAGTAAATTTACGTCTTACCAGATGGACTTTTTATAGCAAGGTGCAATTTTTAAAATTAAACTAAATAACTCAATGTAATATGAAACTTATTCCGTGATTGCTTACATATGCAGGGACTCCATTCTCGCCTTGTGTCGTATCACCGCCCGCTTCGGTATGACTCGTCCATTGAATATTGAGATAATTGAAAATAGCGTAAGTGAAGACCTCGTCGGTGGCCAAGACCAGCTGGAACGTGTTGGTTCTGTGAAGAGACTGGTCGATACCACCTGTGAAAGACATATTCTTCCAGGTTGCAATAAGAGCGTGTTTGGGGATGAACGAATCGGCGCCGACAACACCCTCGCGGATGTCCCACATGACACGCTCTCGCATCTCCACGCCGAACTGATCGGTTCTCCCTTGCAAATCCCTCTCGAGCCTGAAGAGCATAGTTATTTTTTGTAAATCTCTTCGACCTTCAGAAATCCACGTACAAGATTGGACAAAACGGTCCGGAACGGAGTGCTAATTTCTTAATTATATATGCGTATACCTGAAGTACACCCCCGGTTTCCTGCGATCGATATCATTTTCTCTTATCAATCCTATGCGACATTTACTGAAAAAAATGCCAATGAAGCTAGGATCATTCTTTTTAGGCCAGTCTTTAATGGGAAAGACAAGAGGGTACGTAAGATGCTCCGGCGGATCGCTAAACTCCAAGTACCCATTAACAGTTAACTGAAACGTTACGCAACATCTCATTTAGCTATATTCGGCAGCAAACAAATTTTTATTTATCGTATAAGACTCTTCCAAATAATGAAACATTCGGATACCCACGTTCGGGAAATTCGATTAATAAATTAAGATTTTAAAATTAACATATGCAGATATTAAGTATTTATACTGTCATCTATAAAACAAGTACTCATATACTATCAAAAATCATACTGATAATTATAAAAGCGACCGTACTCTTGTGTAGTTGAATCTAAAACCGAAGAAGGGCAATTGAAAATTTAGATTTTTATGGATCTGCAGATTTGTCGCCTGCAGAGCCGATTGGTAATCGCCCTTTTCATCGTTGCCACCCTTATCGAAGTACCAATACATAAACTCCGATCGAATCAATTTCAACCTGTTATCATCAAGTTTATAAAAAGGTTGATCGTCATCCGGACGAGGTGCGAACCTGTAGGCGTCGGGTAAATTCGAATCTGTAAGTATGTATCAAAAAAAGAAATTGATCAAATCAATGCCATTAAAAAATGATTAAAATAAACTTATTACATAACATTGAACAATTTTTATTGCACAATTAAATGTTCTATATTCAAATAAGAATATATTTAATCGTATGTATATGCAACAAATAAAAATTCTTTATAATTGCAATGTTAAGAATAAATGCAAAACCGTAGGTAATTGATGCGTTCGATTAAAGTCAATCATTAATTCCACATGAGTTGATGATGTATCAAAATGGCTCGTCTCATCCAATGAATCATCCCCGATTCATGTTAAAGTGAGTAACTGATAAACACACCGTGTGATAAGCAGCGATAGGGATTTGTCTTCTATCGTAAGGTAAAAAAAATACGCGAGAATACGACTCACGTCGGATCAAATTATCTTAAATTGTCGTTTGAGAATACGGTTTTGGAGAAAAGGGTATTTCAGAGAAAATGCAGTCGTTTCAGAAGGAAAATTGATGGAAAATAGATTCCGTAACTACTTCGTTGCTCAATATTACTCGTTGTGAAATAGCGGTCACGCCCACTGATAACAGATTACTTACCGTATCTTACATATTTTCCAGACTTTTCTTGCCCCGTTCTACCGGAAGCTTTTTGAACGGAGAACGAATCCGCCCCGGTCTCGCCTTTTGCTGCGAAAGCATTTTCAACCTCCGGCAAAACTTGCACCGGACTTTCCACGTCGTCTTTCTTCTCAACGGAAGTTAAATCTTTCTCCTCCACGGCGAGATCTTCAAGCTCGAGAGGAGCCTCCTTCGTTTGCGGCGGCAAACTGGAGTTCTCCTCCGTACTTTCGTTCTCGATCGATTCGGGTAAATTCAATCCGAATGCACTTTCGAACGTCTCGTTTTTATTTTGCGCGTTAATGCCACGTGGTGTTAATGCAATGAGACAGGCGAGAAGGAGGATCCATTTCGGTAATGCGAAAATGCAATCGAGCTTCTTCCACGACGCTCGAGATCGCATTTTCGTGAAGCAGTGATACACCAACTAATTACTTTAATACGCACGACGAGACTGAACTCGAATCCAGGTAACAGGTCGCGATAACGACTGTACTGATATCATCGGCTCTAGTATGATAACATTTATCTCTTTACTACAGGTGGGTGCGTAGAACGAACGGGAAAGTAAGGACTCATACGTTCTACTTATGTAGAAGGGCGTTTCCGATAATGAAAAAATGTATTTCGTCGATAGATTGAACACGATCGAGCTGTTTACGACTCGCTGTCGCAAATACATTAAAATTCTCGTTTTAGAGGCAAATTATTTATTTGACCTTTGCAACTGTCATATTTACAAAGCAGTTATTATTTTTTAGTACGATTAGTTCGAAAATGTACCAAAATCTTATTTCTTTTTTTTTTTGCATTCTTGCGGACGACAGGTTTTACAATAAAACACGTGTAGTATATATAGCAAATATTATATGAAGGCTACTTCATCTTTAAAGTCATATTACTAATACTTTTTTCTTTACAAGAACGCATCATTTGCGGTATCCGTTATATGCATAATAAAAAGTGTATGATGCTCTTATATCGACATTTTATATGGTTTATTAATCTAAAAACGCGGACAACCTAAAAAAACAGTCTACTTCCCTGCATTGCAGCCTTTTAAAATGTATATACGAATTCTTCTCGTTTAAAATGTACCACGCTACAAATGCATCATAGAATAAATATACATATCAACAGTAATAGATACGTCTGCATAGTGTGGCATGTACAGGGTGCATCAATAATGTTCGATGAGTTCACATTCAACGGACGAATTTTTTTTATAATATTCAAGAGAGCGAGAGAGAGAGAGAGAGAGAGAGAAAACATATCTTTTCATTATATTATTAATCGTATAATACAATAATTAGATATACCTGCTTCATACCTGTGATAAATAAAAAAAATCGTCTATCGTGAAATATTCTTGTAAATGTCAAACGTACCAAACATTATTGATACATTTAGCTGTAAATTATTGGTTTGGTTGGGTATTTTAAGCAACTTTCTCGTTTTCTTTATGCATCATTCGAGTAGTTAGATATGTATACTGCAAGGATCTTAAAAGTAGGGGAAATTATGGAATTTTTGTACTGCGACGGTATCTTATATCAATATTGTCCAAATGTTTACAAAAAGAATTATATTACACTTTTGTATGTGTGTTCAATGTTGTAAATCTTTTCGATTGATGGTACGTATCACAGAAGAAACCTACAAAAAGTCACAGAAAGAATTCAAAAAAATTAAAAGTAAGGAAGAGAGATCTTAAAGAGACACGTCTAAATTGCCTTTCGTGTGGAAACCTACAGCAATGATGTCAATATAATATTGCGGATATGAACCATACACTTCATCATTAAGTGAAAAGACTTTTTTATAACATTTTATTTGTAATGAAATAATCTCTCTGTTACGGTTGATTCTTTCTTTAATATTACGACGTCGAGGCATTATCTCCATTACTGTCCATATATCCGCCAGATCCATTCATGACAAATGACGTTCCCAAACCATATAGGTGTCCACAGTACTTTGCATCATCAATATTATCTTCAAAAAACATCTGGAATAATAAAAGCAAATTAGAGAATTCTGCATACAAATGTAATACATATCAATATTTTCATAATTAATTACTTGATAAATTACATCTTGTTAAATTAAATTACTTACTTCTCGCATCTTAAAAAAGACCATCCCAGTAAGAAGGGAATCGGAGCCGGCTTGATGCTGAGGACCTACTCTCTGAATTTCTAGCTGTTCTGCCACCTCTTGTAAACCACCTTTCAGATTCTTGCACGATTTCATTAAGTACTGTATAAAAATGAGACGTATTTTATGTCTTTATATTTTTAATTAGTTTTACTTGGAAAAAAAAACTTACTTTTACATCATATATCGTCGGAAAGTATATCCTAAGAAGCTCGAAAAATTCACTTTCCTCCTGTGGTAACTTTTGATCCGTCAGGAGTTTCAATAAGTAACCAAAATCGTAGCCAGAATGAAAGGACAGCCATTTTATGTCATCAACAAGAACAATTCCCGATGTCATTAACAGCTCGGCAAACTCTAAAGGATCGATGCCCTCCTCTTCATGTTTCTTGAACTGTATACCACTATTTTGTAGCATATCTATACTATCCTGTGCATACATGTCTTCACTAGCAACAACAAAATGTACATATCTTATTACCTGAGTTATTAAAAAAAGATAAAAAAATATTAATGTAATTATCTTAAAAACTAAGGATTAGATTAACTGTTAATGTTAGTAAAACACAAACTTACTGTAAGTTGAATTTAAAATTAAATTGCCATGTTGTATAGCTACCGCCTGGCGTATTCCCCGACTCGTCAAGGAATGTGAGACCAAGTTGAATTATTCGCAGAAGATCTACATTGCAACGTAAGAGCTGGTATTGATAGTCGGCATTAGTTCTGAATTCTCCTGTTTCAAATAAAAAATTTGCAATTTGTATGTGTTGCTGGAAACGACATATTGCAAAAATCTTATGAAATTTCTACAAAAATATGCATTCTTACCAATAGGCCTAGCTACAACACCCGGAAATTCTGTATCCATCGCAATGTACTGATATTGTTGCACGACTTGACGAATTGTACGAAACTCCTCTTCTAGATTGTGTCCCCATACATCTCTGATTCCACATTCTTCATTACTGGGCATAGTCCCCCCTCCCTTCTGCTGCCCTATTTGGTTGGTCCCACCTAAAAAATTATTCGCACAATCATGTAATATCATTAAACAAGTAGATATGTATAGCATAAATTATGCATGACAAATATAAAGATATGCAGCGCTTTTGTATAATTTCTTGATTAGCTTATAAGATATCAGCTTAATATTCGACAAAGTATATATAGACTGTTCACTGTATACAACTAGCTTTCCAGATTGTTATCACAATTTGAGTACCAGGAACATGAAAGTGAGATACTTTTTTAAACAGGTCTCTTAAAAAGTTTACATAAAGAATTAAATATTCGTACAATCTATGCAGAATTATAAATGCATATCTCCAAAAAACGACATCTTTATTAACATAGTTACATGATTCTTAATCAATTATATAACCGTCAATTGTTAAAACGCTAAATTGATCTTTTGAAGCACAGCTTTCAACAGTTATATGCATTCTTCACAAATTTTGCTAAAAGGCACATCTTCTCTGGCACTGACTGAATACGAATGCATGTCTCTCAATAGTTTCATGTGTACTAACACATTATCGCAGTGACTTCTATCTCCTTTATTGCACCTATACTTTTGTCCACTTGGAACTTGCCCTTTATTTACTTTGCTCCCATATTCCTGTAATGCGTGTGTATGTCCTTTATCTATCACCTGGATACATATATGTAGATTTCACTTTCAATGCTCCTGATCCAGCGTCAGTATACACAACTCTTAATCTATATATGTTGCGTCATCACAAATGTATCATATATACGTAGAATTATTGTTACTACATTTCTTTACATTGCAAATAGGAGTGAAATATGTATACCTTACGTATGTCTTACATACCGGTAGCTGAAGGCATGTTCCTGCATTCACCGGGGCTACTCTTGTCTTCGAATTCCCTTCCGTCACGGCCTTTCCTTCTTCATATCACTGGAAAATTTGGGAATGATCGGTGAGAACCAAGCGCTTACGCGTACGCCTGCAAACGTTTTAGTGACCAAGAGAAACCTCGAGCGTCGTCTGCATCGTACGAGGGGCTACGTTTCACAGAGAGGCACAGCTAGGCACTGGACCCCCCTCAGTCACTCAGTTGCAGGCAGAGGCAGGTTATGGATCGCGGGTAAACAACAACAGTTCATCACAGTGGACGTCGCGTGGAGGGTGAAACGCGGGCCCAGCGCGGGGACGCGGGTGGACGCGCGAGCGGATGCACCGTGGGAGAACGACGCGGGACGGCAGGAGAATTCGTTGTTTCTGGCCCAACCAAAAGTTTACTGGCCAGGGAATCGAGAGGGGTTATGTGGCCACCGAAAGAGCGAGCCGAGAACGTCGTCTACGGAGGTACTACACGGGGGCGGCACCGCGCGGCAGTCCGTACCTTGCAATATGATATTCCCAGGTCAGCAATGTCTGAGCGCGAAACAGATTTAATCGAGGCTGCACCTTCGGACCCCACGATCCTGCTGTGTCAAATCATGAACGGTTTTAAACGACTTCCTCAGCTCGCGGAGCTCCGGTGTACATACGCGCGACAGCACGAGATATTGGGCGCTTCGGTCGCCGATATCACCGACGAGGGCGACGAGCTAGGTGTCTCGGGGGCCACGGCGCGGCGGCGCGCGCGGCAGCGTGCATGTGCGACTCCGAAACTCCGAAGCTCCGAAGGTTCGAAGAGGCATCGTCCGTGCGGTAACGCCCTCTCGGTGGATATTGCATTACGCGTGAAACTGCAAGCCAGAAAGCGGGCACTGATGGTAACGGAAAAGAACTGCAATTGCAAGGTAAAACAAAGAAAATATATTATATCTTCGATATCACACGATTAATTTTTTTGTATAATAATAATAATAATGCTATTGCTATAATAAAATGTTGATAAAATTTAAAATGCATGTGTAAACTTGGAAAAAAATGTTTCATATAATAATTAGAATACATATATAAATATGTCCATAAGTTTTCTTTCTTTTGTATAATCTTTGTTCGCATATAAAAAAAAATAATCTGAAAAATAATTAAAAAATAATTAGCAAAATAACTATGCACTGTTTTTTTTTTTTTTTTTTTTTTTAGTAAAATTGTGATTGGATTATATAATACTCTATATGTAATCGTATATATAATCATTAGACATTTGGATTTTTTAAAATGTAGATTGGTGGAAAATCTCGATACTTAAATGAACGAGTAACAAGAAAAAGTGGGCTTTGAGAGTAGATATGCCTGAGTACCTACCTTATTATACCATAGATTGTATTTAACATATTACATTTAACAAAACATGATTATATACAATATCATCATGACTATATACAATATAATCATGTTTTGTTAAATGTAAATAAAAGAAATAATAAAGTCGATGATACCTTGTCGATTTTTAAGAATTTAAACTCAAACTTGAAATTGTAGAAATTTTTGGGGAGAAATAACACGTCTCTCTAAATTCTTGGAAAACTCAGAATTTGAAATAGTGCAAACCTCCTTGCCGATTTATATTTCTTCTGATATTTCCTTCTGGAAATCGTAATTTGCATAATTATTAATCGACTCAGGCAATTAGCTCTTTCTTTTTATTTATATATGTATATATTACTATATAAATTAAAACTCGAGGGTCCTCATATTACTTTATTAAATTAAAACTCTAATTTCTTGATCAAGAGACACAATAGTGTCTCGCATCACAGTAGTGTAGGCGCAATGGCGAGGCAAACCGTGTAATCTATACTCTATACACGAGCCGACTAGTTGAGAAATCCTTATTGTTAGATTATCTTAATAACGGCTGAACCGGTCAAGTTTTGAGTAGACTCAATCGATAGCTTGGGTTTGAATTATTTAATAAATGTTTTTTATTTTCTGTCTACGTGTCCTACGAGCGGAGATATTTTGACGCAAAGTATGAATTGTCAAATTTACGTTTAAGAAACATCATCGAAATTACATATGTTTTAAAAGCAACATCCTAAATAAGACATTTTAAAGACATCTTAATCTAAAGACATTTAAAGATAATGTCTCTCAAAAACGTCAACATATTACAGCTAGATGTCTTTCTATAATTGAATCTATAATAAATGAATGTGACAATATCAAAAAATTATCGAAAAATTTGCAAATTACAATTCCGAGAAGGAGATATTAGGAGATAATTCCATATAAAACGTCTTCGATATTTTAAGACATTTCTTAGATCACTTTAAGACGTCATGACATATTTTGGAAAAAAAAGTTATATCTATTTTTTTCAATTATACACTTTCTTTGTTAGGATATTGGAAAAAATATTTACTTTATCATACGGAAGAGGGAAAGAAAGTAAAAAGATGATTTTTTATTGAAATCGCCTAAAATAAATATAAAACGTGTTATTAAGATATTATTTTAGTACTTGATGATATAACATTTGCAAATAATTCGATCGTACTGCGTAATTTTATTATATTGATATGTTTTGCACGACAGAATGTTGTACGTGTTATTATTTTTATTTATATTTCTTTTATGCGTATTCAATATCAATTCGCGCTACGTACACAATTTTTTTCTTACAGGAAAAATCGCAAAGTTGAGGAAGTCTAAATTTTACTAATAAAAAATTTAATTACACAGTTTTTATCATCTTGCTTTTAACGCAGATTACCTAACGATCATATGCAAAATGTTTTGCTGTACTCTAGATAAAACGAGAACAATATTTTAGACTTATAAATCTACATTGCGTGTACAAATTACAATTTTATTATGAACAATGGACTATGTATATGTATATATTACAATTTTATTACGAATAATTTATAGTCTTGCGTTATGATGCAAAATATGATGGATTAGCTTATTCTACAAATTAATGTGTAACTTTTTTGTTATATATTCTTCATTATTCCTCATACATTACGCTGGATGTTTTCTTCGTGATAAAATTGCTAACCGATATATGTAGCAAGTTGTCCCTACTACATAACTTAGAGCAACTTCCTTTACAGTATCTATCTATCTCGTTCGTGCAGGAAGTTATTCTAAGTTATGCAGATCACAAAGTGATCGCTTTTGCCGCTGTAAATTGAAAGGGCCGGAAGCGATCAAGCGTACACTGATGGAACCTAATACCTTTCTATCAAAAGAAGTAATGACGGCCATCGATTGTGTGACAACGTGATTTCGCGGCGTCGAAATGAAATATCGTGATATTTAATATTTAATATTCGCTTCCGATTCGGGATTACTTTCTCTATTTTAAATTTTATACATTTTAAATATATACATATTAATTTATATTAATAATGAAACAAAGTTTCACACAGAATATTTTACATAATTTAGACACAGAACGAAGTATGCAAAAGTCACGGTATATTTACACAACAAATTTGTGTAATAATAATATAGTAAAACCGCAGTGCAATCAAAAGTCATGATATTTTTGAAATCGTTAAACATTTATATATTCTTCACACTTTACATTCTTAATATCACAGGCAAAGAAAAGGAGAAGAAAAGAGAAAGAGAGGAAGAGGGGAAGAAGTGACAAATTATAACCATCACTTATCTTATTTGTATTCACCGTACATTTAATTATATTATGTAAAAATTACTGTAACTTTATTACCATAAAAATAAAGCGTATAATAAATTCTTTATTAGATCTTCATAAAATCTCCCGTTCACCATTTTTATCCATCATTATATATTTATACATGTCTCCTCGCACTTGTCCATACTTTTGAAATTGTTTGCGTTTGCATCACAGCCAGTATATATGAATCGTTCGCATTGTCCTGAAGCTGCATTGTACGCGTATCTCGTTATATATGCTTTACAAGTACCCCTTTCTATGGGCAACAGGCAAACTGTAAAACAAATGTGAAGTTGCATTAAATTATGTACACCGAAAGCGTTTTGTTAATGTTCTCATCGTGATGCATGTACATACGAAGTTGGATTTAGTAACTTCAATTTTTTGCATTTAAATAAACTTACATCTATGCGGGATACACATTTTAACAAAATTCGAGTTATAATTATAGCCAATGTAATAAAAAAAGCTACTTTCAATGCGTACAAAGAAGACTGCTTACCTGACGGTTGATCAGCTATGATCTCATACGTTAATATGCTAACGATAACAAGCAGAAGTAACAAACGTGGTTTAAAATCCATCTTTGCGTGCGTATGGTATTTCGACTTCTACACACACACAGCACTTGCGTTTCCAAGTTAATTATTTTCAGAAAAATGTTCTTCTTGTTGCTGAGAGACGATCAGCGTATACTAATCTGAAAAGTTGCAACATCCCGTCTAGATATTGCTCCTTCTATATAAACCGTGCGACTTACGCGAGAGAGGGGATTATCTTACCATGAATAAGTTATAAAGTCTAATCTTATTTACGCAAGTTTTTTTAATAGATAGCGTTGTGCATCAACGTGAAAAATTTACGGCATTTTTATGTCGTGTGTGCGTACAGTCAGCACCGTTTATCATTTTCTAATATGTTAATAACAATAACAACTCCGATAACGGAAGTGTGAGTAAATTTTCAATGTGATGATAAACATGCCACCAGTTATAAACCAGATGGAAGAAAGCGTCAATTGCAGAATTAGTTGCACGCGCCGATCTTATATTCGTCTGAGAACCGACACGACGCTTACGGCTTGTTTCCGTCACGGTCAAACGCAGCCCGATTGCCCAGCGTAATTTGCGTATTATAACTACAGATACGCGCATACCAATGACTTTTGCACTCCGCATCTTGACAAGAGAAATCGTGTTTTCTACTATTTATCTAAGACCCGTATTTATATATAGTCTTGTTTCCGTTGAAGAACTCGGCTGAAACCTGTTTTAATACACGATATGGTTCAACAGATAGATACGGTTCAACAGAGTCAATATTTCTGACATGTTCGTCACGTTTATAATCGATTCAAGTGAGAAACTCAATATTTGCCTTCAGACACGATCTGAGTTCTGTTTCTCACAGTTCAATAATTAAAAACATTGGCATGTTGGCACATTAAAAGTATTTCGTATGTCAGTTGGAAAAAATTGCGTATTAAGGCCATCGCATACAAAATGCATAGCTTAGCATAAGCGTAGCATAAGACCGCTAAACCAAAGGGCATCCAGCATAAAGTCGCCATATTAATTTACGTAAGATGCTCATTCGTCCAGCGGTCTTATGCTATGCTTATGCAGCCTATATGCATTTTTGTGTGCGATGGCCTTTACTCATAAATGTAATCCAAGCTTGAGAAGAGTTTGAGATTAAACATTCTAGCTATCGCATCCCTAGAAGATAATTGTTACAACTAAAAAAGTTTCGATTTTGAGTTAAGCCCACAAAAAGTATGTCTAAAATGTTACCTACGCGCTATAATAGTGTCACAAGTCTATATGAAAAAATCCGCTGCATGGGGCAGAAGTGTCGTTAGTCTTTTAAACCGGTTATGCTGCGGTTTCCTGGATGAATAGTGTCATAAGTGAATTGACAAGTGAATCACAGCAGACCTCTTTTCAGGAAACAAGTTTTATTATACAAAATATCTCGTAATTGTAATTGCGTTAGTTATCTCACAATTCAAAAATTGAATCAAAATTGTTTTTTTCTCTCTTAAAAATTATGAATTTTTGAGTTGTGACAGAGTATTCTTCTAGGGGTGCGATATAATCCGCACGTTTTAAATATTTTAATCTATGTCAAATACTTTTTCGAATAAAAATCGACATTTATTTGTGAGTAAAGAAGTTATTTGTGATCGATTGTAAATAGATAGAGTTCCTTGTCCGAAAGTTCGTCTAAATAATTTTTTTTTGGTAAACGTTTGCGTTCTAATCGCGTTAAGCATCGCAATGGACATCGAAATCTCACCTAAGACGGCAGACGAAGGACGACTCTTATCCCGTCTCCTCGGATTTAAGTGTCACGCCGTAAAATCCAAGCGACAGGTTCATTTCGCGGGCGGCATCGATTAAATGCGCCGGTTATCGGGAGGTTTACGAAATTAGTTTGCCGCAAACTCTGAGGCGGGTGTCAGGTAGCTCACGGTAACTTCCGCCGCTCCGCTCCGACTACGTATAGCAGTTTCTCCCCTGCTTCCTCCCTTCGTCCCGCTTTTACGAGAGGCGCGATACTATCGCGTATATTATCCTATCGCGCGCGAAAGCGTCATTCCTAATGTATTAAGCATCACGTATATGAGCTCTTCGGATCGCAAACTGGCTGTTACACCGCGCGTGTCTTATAAGACAGAAGCGCCGCGGAACTATATAGTCCTGAGTCAGATCGCTGCTCTCGCGATCGCTCGAAAAGTTTTGTGCTGCGTCTTCGTTTTTGCTAATCTCTTCGCAGCCCAGGTCTAATTTGGGAAGTTCGCAGTATTTTATAAAAGTATCTCGAACGTTTAATTTACCCATTATAAGTATCGCGTTGAGCATTTGAGGAAATATACATTGAGAAATCGCTATAAAAGTATGCATCCAAAATCCGCCTTCGAAAGCTCGATGCAGATTGATCCGAGCGATCCATCTCTCGCTGGGGGAGAACGGTGATTTACATATAACAAGGCACCGCCAATGATTGCCCGTGGAATACATTAACCCGCGCGCTCTCGGCGTGTCAGCAGCCCGACTATTGCATGAAGTATTCTTAAACGCTCTTTAAACGTGTACTAGGGTAACGCGTGAATTATGTAAGAACGGCGCTGAGAGAGAAAATATGGGGGAACCCGCGGTCAATAAGTGCTCGCGATAAATTCGAGGAATATTTCGTGGTTTCTTCTTTCTTCCCTTTCGCGTGCCGGTTGCAATTTATCGAGCAGCAGGGCGGTCCCTGAGATATTGCGCCGATATCGCCAGAAACGCCAGTTTCTAACAATTTTACTTGATATTAAAGTGCAAAATAAACGAATCGTGTCTTCTCTTCAAGGTACTCTTAATGGGGCTATTAACCTGCGTATTTCAACGAGAGAGGCTCGTATTATAGGAATAATAAGTCAACATCAAGCACTCCTATTATACACGTTTTTTATTATATGTTTTTTTTAATCTCTCGTCTGTCGTTCAAAATACGAGATATCCAGCTAATTGTCGTGCTTGTAATGGCTTTTAATTGTTTCACTCTGTACTCTCGATTACTCTCGAATCTATATGAAACATATATAAGAGAAATAAGAGCCTCGAGCCATCGGCGCACACGTGAACGATACTATTTGCGATCTTCCTCGAGTAACAAGCCTCGAGAGCCACGCTATTTTTCCGCCTACATACGGAGCTCCCGTCTCTATCTTTCGCCTTTTTCCTGCGCGAGGGCACCCTTCCTCTTTTGCAATCAGCCGCTATAAAGAGAGACCCTCGCGTATAGCCTCCCAAACCGTTCTCCGGCCGTACCGCCCGCGCTGTACCACTTATCGATACTAGCTTCGGGCGCTCGGCGTTGTTGAACCCTAGTGCCTGTTACGTCCGGTGCCTCGGCTCTTTGTTCGACCGTTATCGTTAAGAACGAACGAAAACCACCGGGGCAACAACGGCGACGAGGACGGAGAAGCGACCAACCGTTGCGCTGCTCTCAAAAGCGGGGCCGTTCTCGCTTACGTAAGATCCGTAAAGCCTCGAGGAATTCGGCGTCCGCCGATTTCTAACGCTGGCATATTAATGCAGTCGCGATTTGCATACAATCGGGGCACCTACCAATGAGCACGGAAGACCGCCGAGTCATTACCTGCTTTTCGAACAATTAATGGTCACGACCTCGTGCGAACGATTTGCTCGAATCCGCGAAGGCAAATCTAACCGAATGATATTTATTTCAAAGTCACGAATTACTTCACACGCGCTCGTGGTATTATACGATTGCAAGCGTATTTCTTTTCGCTTGTGATAGTTTTATGTCGGTTTTATGATAATAAATATTGAATTAAGACTGCGAAGTAATTGTATAGATATAATTAACACATTGGTGATCTTTATGATCTTCGTGACAATAAAATTTTTTTTTAAACGTTTGTAGAAAATAAACACCATCTAATGTAAAATTTTTACTTATACAAATAGCCACATTTATTGATTAATATCACGACGTTAATTCAGACTTATGACGTAGTTTGGACACAATATCAGATTAATTATAAGACTCACCGTCTACTATATTACACACTCGATAAGAACCAAAATCCACGATCAAAACGTCAGGTTATTAATCAATAAATGGCCAGTTGGGTCGATAAAAAGCTACCAGCGTTAATTATTCAATTATTTACTGGCGAAGTAAAGTAAATCATTGTTTTTGTTATACAAATAGCTCAATAACAATGTAAAATAAAAAGTGCATTATTCAATACAATGCTCATGAGAACACAGTCATATTTAACTATACTTATACAGTATTTTATCATTATATGCTTATATATAATTGTGGCGTACTTGATAAGACACACAAAACTCCGCTGGGCAATGTATTAATCGCGGATCCTTTTGTCAGACATAATAGTTCTCAAAGATTGATCAACTATGCAGGATGTACCAGATTTACCGTATCATCCATTAATTGCAGATTCCTGAGATCATTTGGAGACAAAAATCCTAATGCCAAAATGTCGAGGCTGCAAAATTGTCATCCCGATATACGGGTGATACGGTAAGTCTGATACAGCCTGTATAATGAGCGACATCATACCCGACGATGTTTAATTTCGGAGATGTACGGAGCCGCGCTCGGAAACATCAATGATATAAATGTACGAGCTACGACGTCCATAAAACGACGCGAAGCATTATCATCGTTAAAATGCGTGATCTGCAACGAGCCGTGGAAACGCGCGAGTCGTACAGCGAGTAACTTCGGCGACGAAACAAATACAAATAGAACGAGAGCGATAATGCCGGTACGCGGCCGTGCATCGCGATCGATACCTTCGTGATTTAATGAACGTCGGCGGTACACCGGTAACGGGTGTTTTACGATAATATTATACAGTTCGTACTGTCGCGGTCCCACGCTGCGCCATTGTCTGGATCGGTGAAACTAGACTTCCTTACCTGGCCATTGCGATGAGCATTACTCTTGTCTAAACAATGGACGTCGTTCGGCTATAGATATTAATTGCGGATTGGCTCGCGGTTAACGCCGAGAGAAAATATCCGGCTGCAGTGCACACAATGGTCGTAACTTCGGGCACGAATCATCCGAATTTCGGAAGTGTATTTTAACTTGGCGTATATACTTTCGGAGAACAGTTTCGAACAAAATATCCGCAATATTGGAGAGCTCCCTCGGAATTGACGTGTAC